AAGTTATTTATGAAGTTCTCTTTTTCCTCCTCATCAATTGTCAATTCATTAATCATACAGGTGATGTTATCTTCATTTTCTGTATCCTTTTACCATAGATGCACAAAGACTGGAGAAACATTCAGAGAAAATGCAAAGCTGCTGTGTTGCATCGAAAGTTATTTTTAGGATTTGTTAATTATTCCAACAGTTTCTCTATCAAATGTAGTCCTAGTGCTCTATATCTTGAACATTTTAGGAAAAGCAAGGCAGAGGGAAAAGCAGTGCAAATAAAATTTTACTTGTATCAAAAAAAACGGTGATATCAGACACAGCATCAAGACAGTCATACACTGCAATCAGGACTTGGAAGTGAAATTGCCTAGAGACGCCTCATCATATGGCATTGATGTGGTTATGCCACATCTCATGAAAGATAGTAGTGAATGCCTGACAGGAGTATATCACGCTGACTCACAGCTGCAGAGAAAAATTATGCAAATAGAGAGAGGGAAGTACTGAACATGGCTCAACATTTCAGCCAGTATTTGTAAAGAAGAGAATTCAGTCTCACTGCTCTCATCAGCTACTATTGTCAGTTTTAAATTCACCAAAAGGAATTCTGCTTACTAGCAGATGCCTGAATAAAGCATTGGGCTTTGTTGTTTGGTGGACATAAGTATACAATAGAATTTAAAACGACACATGTTCATACAAATGCAGACGGATTATCTTGTTTACCCATAAAGGGTAGACAAACTGAGGAATGCACATCTGACAGAGACTGACATACTTTCTCTTGCAGAAATGGAGAATCCTCTCTTCACAGCTGAGATGACCAGTGAAAGTAAGACAGAGGATTTATCTCTGGTTTACATAGCAACCAAGAATGGAGGGTATTTATGGAGTTTTATCAATGCCATGACAACTTATATTTGGTGACAGTTTCTTTACAAAAGGACCGAGAGTCATCATGACATCCAAGCTGAAAGATGAAGCACTGAAGGAACTACATGTTGCACATATTTCAGTTTTGTTTACTGGCCAGGAAAAATCAGCAATGTGAACAGGGTGTACAGACAATGTATGGCCACAACTGAGCATGAAATTTTAGTCATAAATCGTTGTGGTCATTAAGAGGCTCACCGTGTGACCTGACTCAATTGATGGTTGAATAGGTGAGTCATCACAGTTGTTAAATGGAATCAAGCATATGTTTTCTCTGGAAAATGACAGAAAACATTGTGGTCACATGATCACAAGAAGTGCAATTGAAATGCAATCATGTGACTTCAGGAGAAGGTGGTGGTGCAGCAGCAGTTGAAATTTTAAATATGGGTCACAAATTGCATTTTTCTGAATTCTGTCATAACTTCAAATCGTCTTTAAGGTCATAAGTCGAGACTATCTGCAATGAGTTACTCAGGTGGCTAACATGCCCCCCCAAAAATTGAAAAGTGCATCACTTCAGCCATGGTTTCCTTGCCATGACAAAAAAACACTTCTACTGACATTGCAGTATTGTTTTTGAGTATAGAATTTTTTTTTACTTAGGATGAATATGTGTTTGAAGTGGACAGAGGTGTTTTCAGTGAGTTGAACAGACACAAAGACACACACAATATAGAGATATTGTGCAAACTGGTGTTTCAGAATAATTAGTGAATGGCAAACTGTATCTGAATAATTTCAGCTACCTTACATCAACGTCTTAGCCCCAGCTACAGACGGATTAGCTGAAAGATTTTGTTCAAAATCTCAGGAATATTTTTAAAATTATGCCTAGGGAAAATACACCGAATCAAAAATTTGCAATGTTTTTCTATTTTGCATATTGCAGCACAATATATAAATCAAATGTCCATGATGTTATTGTCAGATTGTACCTTATATTCAAGACTGGATTTTCTCAAGCTTAATCTGAGAAGTAATCAGAGGCTGAAACATCACCCGAAAAAACTGAAGAGAAGAGGTAGAAAAAGAACTTGCAACTACCATGGCAGTAGATTCCTGAACATGGAGTATCTGTTAACACTTGTATCTTACAACTAGTAATTGCTCCAGTTATCAGTACCATAACTGATATACCATTTGTATTTGGAAGGTCTTCTAGCCATAGGATCTGCACCTTGGTAAGGAGAAATGGGTGATAGTGGTACTCCCCTCAGAGCAGGGTAGTGGTAATCCCTTTAGAGCAGGGGTGTCAAACTCAATTTCATTGAGGGCCACATCAGCATTATGGTTGCCCTCAAAGGGCCAGGTGGGTGTGGGTTGGGTAGGCTTGGCTGGTCATGGCCAGATAACTGCAACTAGGTGGGCATGGCCAGGTCAACATTGCTCACGTTGAGAGGCACCTGTGGGGAACAGTCAAGGCTGGGAGGGGTGATCCGGAGGTCTCTAGTGGAGGAAGATGAGACCAAAGCCTTGCCCATCAGAGAAGATTTGCCATCTCCTGGATGCGAGGCCGAAGGGGGGCACTGTCCAGCACATCTCTGAATGGGACCTGGCCTATGGGACAAAAGGAAAACTGGCGCAGGGAGTGTGAATGTGAGTGTGAGGCAGCACATGCTGAGCAACAGCTTGCTAAGGGTTGCCCTCTCTGCCATGTGGCAAGGCTGGAAAGTAAAATGTGGCACTCAAGGCATTGTACCAGGGAGTGGGAAGGCTGGGATCTGCTCACCCTGGGGTCTCACTGGGACAGTACATAGGTGCCTTACTGGACTATTGCTCATGATCACGCTAGAGAAAAGTTGCATCCTCGAAGAGGTAGGTGAACGGCCAATGCACAGCCGCAGCATGGAATGGCTTGGTGCCCGGTGATGCGTGAGCCACCCCATGGAGGAAGATGGCTGCACCCCACACCTTGAGGCATGGGGCTACTGGACCAGGACTCCACAGCTCAGCCCTGCTTCCTTGAGGGGGCTCCTGGCCATGCTTACCTTCTCCTCGAGGCTGCTGCATCTATGCTTGCTCTCCTTGGCCAAGCTGCCCTTCCTGGGCTGGAGAAGAGCTCTAGCTGGATGGGGCTGCTGCAGGGCACCGCCAGCCCCCTTATGCTTGCTGCCTCCTGTGCATGTGCCCAGGGGTGCCTGGCTGAGCTGGGATGGGCCGGGACATCAGGGGCTGGCCCCTCACTATCTCCAGGGTGGTCCTGCAGGCTATATCTAAACCCATTGCAGGCTAGATCTGGCCTGCAGACCTTGAATTTGACATGTCTGCCTTAGAGAGACCAATTGGACTTTCAAGCTAAATGACTGTAAAAATAACAATAACAATTATTTTCAAATTCATCCAAATATATCAGGCAAAGAAAAAGGTGAAATGAGCTGACATGAAACCCCACCTGACTGCATTTTTTGCAAAATAATACAATTTTAAATTTTTGAACAGGGAGATTATTGGAATTAATCACAACTGACCTGGACGCATTCTCCAGTCTTCCTACTGCTGCCACTATTCTTACCATATTACAACTGGCCTCATTTCTCAGTAAAAGGTAAAGGTTTCCCCTTTCCAGTCATGTCTGACTCAAGGGGGCAGTGCTCATCTCTGTTTCTTAGCCAACATTGTCCAAAGACTGTTAACTTCCCATCAAAGTTGTACTTATTTATCTATTTGAATATATTTGCATGCTTTCAACCTGCTAAGTGGGCAGAAGCTCAGGAAAGTAATGGGAGCTCACCCATTAACTGCTGAGCCATCACAAACACCCCTTTCCAAGTATCCTCCCAGTATGATTATCACAAATATTCCTACCAGCCTGCCACCGCCAATCTACAACTGAATGCTTTACAAAACATACAAAATGGTATGTTTTATTCAATTTAACACTGAATGGCACAACTGAAATTTAACTTAGAAAAAAAAACTAACTCATACATCAAACTTAACTGGTTGGATAATACTCCTGCATTTGCATTATCTTCAAGGGCAAACCATATACAATATATTATAGGAGTCAGATCAAGTTACCTGTGTAGAGAATACATTCCTTAGAACAGATAATTGCAACCAAAACCAGTAGAAGAGTGAGGAGGAAGGTACTTCTAGCCACTGAGAGCAATTAAGCATTGAATATTAATCCTCTCTAACCTCAAACCTGCATTTATCCCAGAAGTAGAATTCAATCTAGAATAGATTCTACATAGAGATCATCACTGCATAAGGTCTCAACTTTTCCCCATGGAAGTTGCACATTTTATTAATTACAATAAAATATTCATAGTAAACCAAATCATTCAATATATTTTAGGATGACAGATACGTTAAACAAATAGAATTCAAAATTATACTATTAATTCTCTTTGCTATATGTTAGAAACAGATAAAATCAAACGCCAGTGTGAGAAACGACCAGATTAATTCACTATGCCAATAAAAATGTCTAATATTTTATAAAACTATTAAGCCAAATCTTCTTTGGAAATATAAATGATTTTTGAAGGGTTATAGTTTAAGAAAAGAAACATTCCTAATACTGTCACTTTTTAGCTATAGTAGATTAAAAAGCACCCTTTGTATAAGTTTTTTTTAAAAAAGAAAAACATTTTCATTTTTATCAGGTCTTCAATCACATTGGTATTCAGACATGATCAAGCCCTTTAGAAGCAAAGAAAATCAAAAGGTAACATATTAGAAGTTTTAAAATTATGAAGCAATAATGATTTTTTTCTTTAAAAGAGCATTTCAGGAGGGCATGTTGAAAAAATTAATTGTTCACAAGTACATTTATTAAAAGCCATGTTACTAATTTAATAACTGTAGTGATTCACTTAACAACCATGGTAAGAAAGGTCATGAAATGAGGAAAAATTCAGTTAACAACTCTCTTGCTTAGCAATGGAAATTTGGGGTGCAATTGTGGTTGTAAGTCGAGGACTACCTGTATAAATTAATGATCTCGCCTTGGTCTCTGGAAAGACTACAGTTTCATGAATAAATAATAGATTCATGAGGGTAACAGTTGTAACTGCAGATTATTCCATTAAATTAATTTGTTTAATAATGAGAGTGGTTGTTACCAGACTGGTATACATATGAAGAAAGGTGACTGCTGGGATGGTAGCTTGTGGGGAGCTTCATGGGACTCAGCTGATGGGATAAAAGTATTTTATTCAGTTTCTTCTCCAGTGACAGATAGTTCTCTGATAACTTTGATATCTAGGTGAGAAACATAAACAAACATATATATAAAACCAAAGAGGGAAAGTCATCCTGTGAAAGTGCATGAACATTGCTTTTTATTATAGAGAATTCTGCCCCCTCTATTATGGAGAATTTTCTTATACTGAACTATTACACTACTGTAAGATGGTAGAGGACAGGAAGGCCTGGAGGAACATTGTCCATGGGGTCACGATGGGTTGGACACGACTTCGTAACTAACAATAACAATCAAAAGCTTGATCATTTTTTCAGTATTTGATTTCAATGGATTCTATTTTAATGCAGACTGAATTAACTGCTTTATATAAGAGAGAAGAGAGAGAGAAGAGAGGGAGGGAGAGGGGGAGAGAAATTCTGATTATCCCCAGAAAATATAACGGGTGCTATGGCCCAACCCACACGGTGAAAGGTTTTTCTAAAATGCTTACCTGTTTGGAGAAAACAGCCAAGTTAGATTTTTCCTCCTCTGGACCATCTTTTAAAACTAGATCATCAGACAAAGCCCCAGACTCACTATCATCTTGATTTTCAAAAGGTAACTTCCTTTTCCTTCTGAGCTGATCTCTTACTCGGTACCCTCGATAAATACTTTGAATGACTAAAGCTGCCTTCACGTTATCCTCTGTGGTTTGTTGGCTTGGTTCCATAGATTTCAGTGAGCTTTGTGAGGATCTTTCCTGGGGAGAAACACAACCCTGTTTTTTGGGTTGATTTTGGTCTTCTTCAGAAAGATATTCTTTTTCCCCTGGGCTTGTTGCCATTCCGGCTTGCTTATTCTTGAGAAATGATTCCCTGAAACACATGTAATATATTTAGCGAAGATTACAGGAGACAGCTGCTGCAACCTTACAAGATCACTCAGGGCTAGTTTATGCATTAAAATGTCAATATAATACTTTTTTTTCAAAATGAAAACAAAGCAAAACATTTCTTTGGAGTGATGTTTTTCGGCATGCATCACATAAGTTTATTTTGCAAAATAAAGGCATATACTATAATGTTAAAAAAATAGGATTTATGGTTACTAGGAGACAGGTACTGTAGGCAGCATTTTTTTCCTGCACATTATGCCATTAAAAGTACAATGGAAACAAAATGGTTCCTTTACTTTTTTCATTTTACTCACTGTCTGACCACCCAGTAACAAACTCCTATCCTGTGAAATGGCCTTCCATATCTACTGCTGAGAAAGGAGAAATGAACTTGGAGGAGCCATTTGAGCCTACTCCAGTATTAGCTCTTCATCCTAAGTGCGCAAAGGCTTCATTGAGTTGCAATTTGTGATTCTAGACCACCAATATATATTTTGCCAGAAAGAGGAGAATAATTCTTAAATTAGAAGAGCTCCATTGGACCAGACCAAGGTTGATCCAATTCAGTGCAGTAACATTTGGTACTGAAAGGCATTCTGCCACTAATGCCTCTGTTTTAGTAACCTGCACTCCAGATTTTGAGTACCAGGTAAAAAGACTATTCAGTATAATTTTATTTCTTGTATTTTTTAAGTATCCTGAATTCCCAGTATCTCTATTCTATCCAAGAGTGATTTAAAAATGTATTTGCTTCCATTCCAAATGGACTCCAGAATCCCAAAAAATTTTTACATCTCATTTAATGAATAAAATGTTAAGAGGTTGAGATTTTTTTTTCATACCATAGTTTTAGCACATGCACATTTTTCTATATTATCTTTTGAAAACAAAACTTAATATTGTTGAAATCTCTCTTAGAAAGATTGCATGGAATGGTGCTGTTTGAAATGAAATTGAAGATTATGTTTTATTGCAGAAGAGTTGGCATATAACAGAATAATCTTAAGTAAAATAAAATACTACCTTCTTCTTTTGAGACTTGTTCTCTCCCTGTATCCTCTGAAGTAAGACTGAATTATTACTGCAGCATCATTTATTTCTTTAGCCCCCTTTTGGATCAGGAATCTTCTTGTAACTAATATAAATCACAGTAAGAATAAACCCTTAGATTATTTTTGTAAATCAGCATATTTAAACCAACTCTTCCTTAATCTGGCATTTTCAGATTGGATAGGATGACTGTCCTCATCAACTCTCCTTCTCCCAACTTTAGCCTGCTGGGTCTATAGCTATAGATGACAATTATTGTTCTTCTCAGCTGCTGAAGAATGCCAGCCTGGGGGAACACTGGATTATATAATCAGTATATTATATGATATACAGTAATGGCCAAAATTGTGGAAACCTTTTTGGGAAAAGTGTACAGTAGAAATGCCACCTTTGGTTAAATTTCCACCAATTTTTCTTCTAATTTCTTTATAACTATAGCCTTGTTCACTTAATAATACTATTTTACATTGCTTTCTGGGCAACCAATCAACTCTTTGCACCATTACTTTAATTTTATTACATTTTACAAGCTCACTAAATGAATGAACACAAAAAAACCCAACCAACTTGATAGCAATCACATAACACACTGACAAATGTCCTCCTCTCACCTTCAATACATGAATCCTATTGTGATCTGATTGGCTCATTGCCAAACAAGATGACACCTGATTGGCTCTCTAAACACTCATGCTCATTAGCTACAATCAGATGAAGGAAAGCTACCTGATATCAACCTAAGCAAGTTGTGCTTTCTTTTTCTAGTTAATTGGCTATAACTTTTCATAGAATACAGCAGGGCTTTTTTTTGTCATAAAATGCCCAGAATGGAGTTCTGGCACCTGTTTTGGATGGAACCTTATAGGACAGGCAAGTTGGGTTGTATGACATGTGTGAGTTCGGGCACTTTTTTTTTTTTTTACAAAAAAAGCACTGGAATACAGTACAGATAATTGAAAAAACTTTGTTGCATTACATTCTTGATTAAATTATCTTTCCATTGATATATAATTTTATGGTACTACTCCAAAAAAAGTGGTGTTATTAGCCATCAAACCTCAAAAATACACTTTCCCCAAAAGAGTTCCACAATTTTGGCCACTACTGTACTTTCCCCAAAAGGTTTCCACAATTCCTTCCTCTAAGAAGTCACTAGGTTACTCAGTCCTCATGGGATTTAATTCTCTTTGCCAACTTCCCCTATCTGGAAAGTTTTTTTCCTCCCCCAACCTTCCCCTCCTCCCCAGATAAGAGTGAATGGGGAGTGATACTACTATACTCCTAAACAAGAGGGAACTGCAACTTTTGATTCAATATTCTATTGCTTACTGCAGTTGGCTGATAGGATCACGGTGTCAGAAACAGTTCCTAGTTACTGTAATAATTCTGCTCATGTAGGTTGCCTATTGCTTCAGCAAAAAAGTCTATGAAAAGCTCCTATTTGAATTGCAGCTTAGAAAAATTAGTTCAAATTCTAGATTTTGATTTCTAGCACTGATATCTGGCTTTACTCCTGCATCTTGATTCTCAGCTACCACTTGTAGTCACTAGCTCGGATAGAAACACATTAAGCAGAAATAGAAAAAACAGTCCTTCTAATTCTGTTTGATAGCTCTGCATTCTGACTGTACAAACCTTGATGCTATAAATGGAAGTCTTACCTGACTGGAGCTTGATAATCCACATAGCTGTTCCATACATATTCTTTGCCTCTGCAAATGCTTTGCGAGTGACATATCCCCTGTAAACTGAAGACAGAAGGTGAAAACCTATAAAGTTAGCAGTTATATCTTCCTACAGGGTTACCTACTTATTCACATCTGCAAGGAGAAAGGGAATGGATGAAATATTATTCTTTGGGACAAACTTTGTTGCCTTTGTGGCATATTTCATGGTTTGAAAGAGGGCAATGAGGATTAAAGGGATTGGACCATGAAATAAAATACTGTAGGTGGGCCTATATAGATGCAGACAGTATAACATATATTTTTTTGAAGATGCGGCTCTACTTTTGATTATAAAATTGTGACATCTTCAATGGTAGAAAACAAGAAAATTGACAAGAAAGCAAACAAGGAAAGTAAGGGGGAAAAAAAAGGACTTAGGGACAGTAAGTACATTTGGAATCATAGGTTGCCCACTTCTGTTTTAGGACGTCAAATACAGTGAAATTTTATATAGAGATCCAGGCTCATGACAAGAAAACACAAGTTGATTCAACATAATCATTTGGAACAAGAATGCAGCTTTCTTCTCAAAATGGAAAATTCAGACTTTAAAAGAGATCAAATTATGGAAATGGATTTAAGGATCAAACTGTCATTTGCTGTGGTATGAAAAACTTAAATCTCAGACAAGATGCTCTATCTTTTAAGCTAAAGCCTTATAGTTGCTTAGTCAACAACCAGCTTAATTAATCTTTCTCACCTTAGACCCTTCAGGTTTTACCTATTTATTAATTTATTTGACAACACTGTCAGACAACTTCTGTAGTAAAGATAATGCTTACAACATTAGAAAATTTTCTGCTGGGAAATAAAGTAGATTAATAGGCAAGGCTTTCAGCTGTAATGAAAAGCCACCAATGCAAGAAAGGAACTTTTTAAAGAGGAAATGGTTAAGCTGGAAATGGATTCTGATACTAAGATGAGAAAAGGCAGAGAACGAAGAAAAAAAGGTGGAAAACATGGGATTTACATTACTGGCATACTTGGTACAATACACTATTTTGGTGCCTTGAAAATTTCTAAGGGGTTGAGAGTATCTTCTCATCTTCTCTTGTCTAGAGATATAAATCAATCTCATTGGCAGAATCTGCCAACTTTCTGGCAATCTCATACTTTGGTTACAGGTTAACTTTCCTCAGATATTCTCCAAGTCACCAATTCAAGATTCTATAGAGAAAAAGAAGGGCAACTGCAGAAGTCAAAATATCATCAAAATAAAAAAAAATTGCATGATGACATCCCATTATAAGCTCTGTCCCTTCCATACTTGTATGTGATATCATAATACAAATAAAAAATGACAGTTTACTTTGCGATGCGTGCATGTGATGCAAATCAAGAAGGGAAGCATTCAGGTATGCAGACTTGAGTTTCCAGATAAAAGTTAAGCTATAAGTACAAAGTAGAACAAGAGAACGAATCATATATAATGAGAATTAAAACAATTGTAGAAATGGATGTTTCTTTTGTTTTAACACCTGAGAATCTTATTTTGTGTAAATACATGTATTTGCAATGTTAAAAATATTTTTATTACCTGATTGTATTTTAGTTGCACTTGCTTCCCTTTTCTCCTTCAACTTTTTAAATCTGTTTGAACGAAGCCATTTTTTCACATAGATTTGAATCAAAACAATCCTGTGAATTATCTCCTTTCGCTTTATGTTTAGTTGTTCTACATGGTAGTACTTCAGAAAAACCTATTGTTAAAAAAGAGGATGATCACTATATATATCACTATAAAAAGAAGACCCACTTAATTCCATAGATAACATTACCAATGATGACTGCTTTTTTAGCTAGGAGAAATCCACCAAATATCTGCCTTAAAAAACAACAACCCTCCAGCAATGTTGCAAGTCAGGGATGATAGATATGAACAATGACCAGAGAACAGAAGTTCCAATTTTATGGTGGGTAAAATGTCAAAATGCCTCAAATGTCAAAATGTCAAAATTATCTCAAATAGAGGTAATTCTGAATCTGGCATTGAATGCTAGACAAAATGATTCTACTTCTTAGATTATTGTAATGTACAGCACGCAGAAACAATCTTTTCAATGGACTTTAAATATCTATGAAATTGTGTACAAAATAGCCAAAATCACAAGTATATTGGTTAATAATAACTATTGGGACAACTTCAAGCTAACAAATTCACTTTTCATCAAATTATATTAAATAAGTGATAAAAAGGCAGGATAATTTTAAAAAACTGATGAATGTAGCTATTGATGGCATGTGAGTGAGCCTCCATAACACTTATTCTTGATTAGCCTACTTGTTTCAGCAGGAACACCGCAGAAAATAGTGGCAGAGCTAATACCTTTGTTTTTCCAACCATCCAGTTATTCAACTTGGTTTTTTCCAAGATGGCAGTACAAGTAGCAGAATTTATAGGAAGTTTGTTGCTGGAATTGTAACAAAGGAAATAGTATCTACAAGAGAAAGAGAGAGTTCAGGAGGGAAAGAAAGAAAAAGAGTGAGAGGAAAAATGACTATTTAACAATGCATTTGCAGGAGATTTAGTGCCTATTAGATAAGCAGTAGAAAACCTTTACAAGTTTGACTGCATCATACTTAGATACCAAGCTAAAAGACTATTCAAATACTGAGGTGCACTCAAGCAACAGAAATAGCCACAAAGCATCAGTGAATACGTTTCAATTTATCCACCTATTCAGATACCTTAGTACTGTACAAAAGTAACACATTTTCCACCTGTCTAGCTCATTTTTCAGAGAGGAAAATGCATGATGTTCCTGCTACCTTCTCAAAAAGGTCACTCTATATTTTTTTTTGCCTATGTTAAGTCTTTTGTCAGCTTTGATAGGTATAGCATGAAGAGCCCACTGACTTTTGAAAAACTTTGTTAATTTGTACAATTTAAGTAAATCTTTAAAGGATTGAATATTACACACTTTTTGTTTGTTTGTCTATCCATTTCTCCATCCTTCACCTAATTAAATTACCATCGATTACCACACTCTTATTAAACTCCCCACTAGAAGGGCCCAACTATTTTGATCATGCTGGGAGAAGCAGCTGGTTGTCCTCCTGGGAATTTGGGCACCAACATCAACTAGTATTTTCTTCTATAAAAGGAACTGTCCTCAGGAATGGCCTCTAGTTGGAGACTGCTATGTCTCCAACATTATCTGCCTTTAGGAAGAGGGTGAAAATAGAACTTTTCCAGAAGGTTTGGGAGAGTATGATGTCAGATATTCTTTTGAGATTTTTAAATTGTATTTCTAAGGCATTTTTGGTCTGCATTATTATGTTTGATGTGAGAACTACTTTGGTCAAGTGGATAAGGCATCAGATTAGAAACCTGGGTTAGACATGAAAGCTGGCTGGGTGATGTTGGGCCAGTCACCTTCCCTCAGCCCATGATTTCAAGCTCAGGTGACAAGCTGCCTCTGGTGACAATTCCTGTTGCAACCAATTCCTGTTGCAACCTTTGGTTGATCTGAAAAAAAAGCAGACCCTGCATCTGCAAGAAAACACTAAAAAAAGAGGCAGAAAGCAATGGCTGGTGATAATACATATGTATGTATGTATGTATGTACTATCACCTCAGGAAACATATATATATATATGTAGGTCATTGGTTATTCGGGTTTTCTCCCAAGTAAAATTGGAAGTGTCTTGGCGAAGTTTCGACGAAGTCTCATTCGTCATCTTCAGGCTGGTGCTTTTGGCTTCGTGCTTCTAGGAGCAATGTGTGATTGTAGCTGTTTCCTCCTTTTAACTGCCAGTGGGGGTATGAACTGATTGGAGAGAGCTTGGCTGTGTTCTGATTGGATGGAAGTGTGTTCTGATTGGTTAGGAGCTTGGCTGTACTCTGATTGGCTGGAGGGTTGGCTGTGCTCTGATTGGCTGGGGGAGTGTTCTGTTTGGGTGGGGGCTTTGTTGTGCTCAGGTTAGTCTGAGTTGCAGGGGGGGTTAAAATGGTGAACTGCATTGCTATTTTTTGGCTTCGTGTTCGTGGTCATGCCTCATCTTCATGGTGGGTGTCAGTTTGCTTCATGTATGGATTGGAGGGGTTTAAAGTGGCTAATGATGCAGCTGTGGTCTGGCTTCTGGTTTGTGGTCGTGCCTCATCATCGGTGTGGTTTTGGGTTTGCTTTTTGCGTGGATGTGTGGTGGTGACATCCTGTGCGGTTTTTGTGAGTGTGGGTCTGGTATCATTTTTTGTGTTAGGGAGTCATTTGTCAATAAGGGCGGGTGTCCAAATGGCTGGTAGGCGGGAGGTATCATCTCGTTTGTTCATGCTGTGTGGGCGTTTTTCTATCTCGATGGCTTCTCTGATTATTCTGTTATTAAAATGTTCAGTTTTGGCGATAGTTCTGGTCTTTTTAAAGTCAATTTCATGTCCTGTGATTTTGAGGTGTACTTACATCCAATGGATTCCAACGAAATAAGATTACCAAACTAATCCAAAAAGAAACCCCCACTAAAACCCAAGACAGAGAACAAGAAAACGGCAAAGCCCTCCTCCCTTACATAAAAGGTACCACAGACAGAATCAGTAAGATCCTCCACAAACACAACATTAAGACAGCATTCTGCCCAAACAGAAAAATATCCACCATCCTAAGAAACCCCAAAGATAAAATTGAATTAGAAAATCAAGGAGTATATGAAATCCCATGCACCACTTGTCCCACCACATACATCGGACAAACCAACAGAAGAATAAGTGCACACATTGAAGAACATAAGAACTCAGTCAAAAAAGAGGAACCAACTTCTTCCCTGGTCCAACACCTTAAAATCACAGGACATGAAATTGACTTTAAAAAGACCAGAACTGTGGTGGGACAAGTGGTGCATGGGATTTCGTATACTCCTTGATTTTCTAATTCAATTTTATCTTTGGGGTTTCTTAGGATGGTGGATATTTTTCTGTTTGGGCAGAATGCTGTTTTGATGTTGTGTTTATGGAGGATTTTACTGATTCTGTCTGTGGTGCCTTTTATGTAAGGGAGGAGGGCTTATATATATATTTATTTTGTATGCCCCTCTCTTACCTTTAAGGCATTTCTAGCATTCTCTTGGCAGCAACACAAGCAGATAGAAAAAAACCCATAAAACACAGAAGGAAGGAATAATAGAGGATCTTGTTTTACAAAGGACTTACCGCTTTATGAAGTTTGCAAAAAGAATACGATGAGAATAACCCTGTTGCCGAATCCGAGCTGTTTCCAAAATTCCAGTGTATCGCAACTGAATCAATACTTTTTCTTTTTCATACTTGTTTGCCTGTTGATGGTTGTTTGGTTTAATACAACGAACAAAATGAGGCTGGCCAACTGCCAATTTGTACAACAAATCCATCAATGAGTTCTGAATGGAAATGATGGAAATAAACATTTGGGATTCTTTTACAGATTCTATTTGCAAAACTGATAAAGCTTCTTTTGGCAATATTTGAATTGTGCCTGGCTTAAAGAATAACTACAGACTGTCATAAGCAAGAATGAATTAGCTGCAATAACTGAAAGAGCAGCTATAAATAAATCACTGTTCTCACAAATACTTTAAACAATATAAAACTGAGTGAAGATAATGTCAGGAAGAAGTAAATGTTTGGGGCCAGTGAGCATATTTAGAACTACTGCCAACCATCAGTTATAAAACACCAGTTCACCACAGAGCAAATAACTACTGTATGATTGATTTCCTCCGTAACCTTTAGACTTGGATGATTCTTCTGGAAGATTTCTACAATCCCATCCTCTCCGGGATACCCTTTTGTAAAGGATGCCTAGGAACCTTATAAGGGGAAGAGTCAAGGTGGCAACACATTAGTAGTTCTGACATAAGCTTCCTTATTTCATAATGAAGTTGAGAGAAATACGTGTGAATACAGTTAGATCTTGACTTACAACAGTTCATTTAGTGACCGTTCAAAGTTACAATGCATTGAAAAAAGTTATTTATGACCATTTTTCACACTTTCCCCATGGTCACATCATCAAAATTCAGATGCTTGACAAATGGTTCATATTTATGATGGTTGCCATGTCCTGGGGTCAGATGATCCCCTTTCATGACCTTTTGACAAACAAAATCAATAGGGAATCCAGATTCATTTAACAACCATGTTATTAAGCTAACAAATGTAACAATTTACTTAACAACTATGGCAAGAAAAGTCATAATATGGGGCAAGCTCACTTATCAAATGTTTCACTTAGCAACATAAATTTTGGGCTCCACTGTGGTCATAACTCGAGCAGTATCTGTAAAAATAATGGTAGAGTGCTTTGCTTTGGAATACACTAACTTCACTTAAAAATTAAAATATTTTAACATCAGATGGAATATGGACTCTGGTGAGTACCAGAATAGTGCTTGAAGACACAGTCTAGTCCATGAGCTCTAGACTGCTTCTCCCTGCTCTTAGCTTGATCAATCAGCTGCCACAAAACAGGAGGAAAACAAAGCTGGCCAAACATTAAGTGAATTCATCCTATATAATGGATGAAGCACTATTTCAAAAATAAAATTAGCCCTACATCAAATTTTAGAGCTTATACATGAAATTAAAACAATTATCTGAGAATGAGATGAATGATTCACCTTTCTTTGAATATAAATAACTATGTGCCAAAGTTATCATATTAGAAGATATTGCTAAATGAAGTATTTAAATTTCTGCCACATCTATGGCCTCACTATTGACAAGAGATGATTTGTTTATGTCAAATGTAAACTTTCATTACTGGATTAAACTACTATTTATTATCTTAGGCTCTTTAAGCAAAGTTTACTTATAGGAAAACCTAGAGACTAAATGTGCAGAATAGACAAAACACACGTGAAAAAGGAATTTTCAGTTTGGTTGTCTATGAGTTCTTGCCTATTCAGTACAATGTATTCACTGTTGAGACCTTTCTGGTGTTTAAGACTGTATGTAGATCATAAAATTGTTTATCTTAGCTTCTTGATTGCATACTCTTATGCTTACAGCCATGCAAATCATGGTGACATCTGATGCTAAGCAAATTGGTTGAGGCTGATGTCTTAAACTAATACATTGCCTGTAGGGGCTCTAGCACACTCTCTTCCTATTATGTATTCCTAATGAACAGAGGGAGATGTAATTGCCTCTTGGCAATTAATAGTGGTTGTGGTATAAAATGGTACTCAGACAGGTGTTCTACACTGGCTCAATGCAAATTCTTATTCAAAACAGAGAAGCTAATTGTGCAAGCACCAGGGTACCTCAGAAGAAAATGGTAATAACAATGTAATACTCTTGTAAGTGCATTATTCAAATGTAAATTTAAAAAGCATATTAATATGCTCCTTGAATGGATAATTACAATTTCAGTCCACATCACAAACCAAATGCTATAATTGACATAATAATCAAACCCAACCACAGAGGGACACATATAAGCAATATCATGAATATGAAAATAATATGGAACACAACAAAATTTTAGTGTACTTCTTTTCTGACTTAAGCCTATGAAGAGAAAGACTCTTTTGAATTGAACTTGACTTCTTATGATTAAAGAACCCTATATTTTTCTTTGAAATAATATGGAAGTTGCTTGGAAGTTATTTTGGGGGGTATTTGTTTGATTTCCAAATCTACAGTAACTTATAGCCTTTGGATTTTCTAGTAATCCCCAATCCAAGTCTTACCCAGGTCCAATCCAATTTAGCTTTTTGAGTTCAGTCAAAGTAGATTATATGCTCATTTCTCAAGAATGCCTATAGGCTTTGGTGGGACCAAATATATTATTTGAATAAAAGCTTTGCTGGTTATTTTGGAGCATGACAATTAAGAGAATCTGAAAATAAAACAAATCAAGTGGGATAGGACACATGGATCTACTAGCAGATGTTAGTCACTGACAGGTAAATGCTGCAATTTGTGAATTCCAAAAGACACACACAACTTATGATAATATCTCTTTTAAAAGTGGTGAGAATGCATATATAACAAATGTTATTCTTTGAGTAATACAAAATTAAAATTAGCACCAATTACTACAGCCATCTCACTCAAGTCTTCTCTTCATAAAACTGCCTTGATTTGACTAAATAGTTAATAGGTTCAGCTATACCACTAGGAAAAATTTAGAAATTGTTTCAAGTAGCAGACTGGAACAGTACATTTTGATTAAATTACACCATGGTCTTCAGCAGGCCACCTAGATCTGTGTTTGTGCCACCGTTTGATCATAGACTATTTACTCTTCCACTGTCAATAATCTGAATTGTTTGTGCATGCATGACAATAATATTAGATGGATAGAATCTCCACAAATTCAAGTTAACAGCCAGAAAATTAGGGAGGCACGGTTAGTGAGATTTAGCTGATTTTGAAAGAGGAGACTAGTACCAGAATACCCTAAGGCTGAAGGCAGATTGAGAAGTTTAAAAATCTTCCCAGAAAGTGGAAATAGCAAAGAACTTCCACACCAATGTGGAGAAATCTAATGGGCTTATCCATCAAATTATCAAGAGTCAAGCCTGCCTAGGAGGTAAAGTGACTTTAATTATATAATTAGAGAAAGTAGGGTTGATAGTTGTGTGAATAACATGTATTAAAAATATAAAATAAGTAATGCCTTACTCGGAAATAAGAAGCAACTGTCTGTGTTTTCATATTGCTTGTTTCTCTTGGATGCATAGAATCTTCCTGCTCATTCTGTATGATCAGAAAAGAAAAATGACACTGCTTATCAGAACAACAGCCCAAAGTGATTGAACCTGCCCAACAAAATGATATTTTAAAGAACTCAGTTAAAAACAGCATGTACTCATTCTAAGCTGTAGCTTAGTAGCTGTAGTTATTTCAGAAACATACCATGCTTCCCCGAAAATAAGACTGGCTCTTATTTTTTTTTGCCTCCAAAAGAAGCACCAGGTCTTGTTTTTTTTTTGGGGGGGGGTGTCTTTTCTACTCACTTCTGGCATCAACAGCCCCATCCAACCAGCTAACATCTTCTGCAGCTGAAGGAGCAGCTTCATTCTGCAGCTGAGAATGGAGCTCCAGCTTGCATTTCACATCAAAGGCTTTCCAGAAGGCCTCTGCAGCCAAGAACTGAGCCATGGATTCTTGTCTGTAGAGTCCTACAGAACTGAGCTATGGATTCAATCCATAGCTTGGTTCTCAACTGCAGTGGCCTTCCGGAAAGGCCTGACTTCAAAATGCAGGCCTGTGGACACCACAGAAATGGACTGGTGAGGAGAGGTCTGGTTGCAAGGTAAGTGGGTACAGGGACTGTGGGGCAGCTGCACACCCCCACTCGTGCCCTCGCTTGATTTTTAGGTGTGCGCCTCACCCCAAAATTAGGGCTTATTTTGGGGGTAGGGCTTATATGAGGCCAACCCCTAAAAATCAAGCTAGGGCTTATTTTCGGGATAGGTCTTACTTTCGGGAAAACACGGTAGAATAATTTATCATATTGTATATCTGGGAAAGCTGAAGTTTGATACAAGTGTTTGTCAGAAATATGAAGAAAAATAGCATGCATAATATTCTCTTATTTACTAAAAACTCAGACATCTAATGTTCATATTAATTACAACAGTAACAGTAGTAGACCTCTTTCACAATAGTTGGGTGCAATTCTACAGTTAGAATCTTTGTACTTTCCTTTTTTCAATACATTTGCTAGCAAGTTAAATTCTCTAAATTTAATGGCACACACTGACCAGTAAAGATACCTATGGATGAATGTTAAAGGAAATAACAATTGAGAATTAATTTAATTTTCCCTTAACTCATAAAATGATAGCAGAAAGGGAGACGTTGGTTTTCTGACACAGAAGGAAAATGAATTGTACAGTTCAAAGATATCCTGCTGAACAAAAAAAGAAATTACATGAGTTGAGGAAAAACCAAGTCATACCCCCCCTTTAAGGATTAAATCCTGATTTAGTTAGCAATCCAGGAACTCCTTTACTTTTATTTGGCGATTCTGTGGTCTCCACTTCTGAAAAATTATTGCATACTTCCTCTGTGCCAAATTACCTGAGAGAGAGAGAGAAAGCATGGGAAATTTGTAAATTGTTCCCTGGATTAGACAGGGAGCAAACATAATTGGCTATTGAATTTACATAAAAAGTTCTTCATGAAAATACCTTATTTCAGTATTTGCCTCCTTCATAATATTTTTAGGTTCATGGAATAGCCCTCTAAAAGATGGTAACAATTACCTGTTATCTTTCAAAAAATCTTTTAGAAAACAAAGATAGCAGTAAGAATGATTTCCAGTGTTCTTGCTCCTCATACTTTTGGGGCCCTTTTTAGATGACAAAAAGGCACAATGATTTGTCTTTACTGTTTTCTAGTCCATCTTTTGTCATTCTGGTATTTGTTTGCATTTTATTATAGGCTTTATATTACTTTACTTTCAGGGTGCTGACTTCCAAAAATGCTGCAGCTGGAAAGATAACTAAACATTTCTCACAAATAAAAATAAAATCTTGCGAGCAATGGAAGATATACATTGGCCTTCATAATACACAAGTTGTCCAGAAATTCCTTATTTACCTTTTACTTAAGAAAAAAACCAGATCCTTGGCAGATTATGAGAAGATGGAACATGTGCTTTGCATTTGTTCTTTTAATCAAATTTGTATAAATCAAATTTCTGAAGATCCTCCTCAATTTTTTTTTTCCTGTGGAACTGCATTTCCAAAGTCTTACACAGGTGGGTAAGATGGCTTACCCTGATTATACAATTTTCAAATGGCCTAGTGTGACATGCAATAAGTGATAAACTAGTCTTAGACTTCATGAATGGTTCAGGAAACAATGCATGGAAGCAATCCATGGGGAAAATAAGAAAAGTATTTCACAGAACTGCTGTCATCTTTCTGAGCTGCGAGACAGAAGAAGCTCATTCTCTTAAGGAGCTAAGGACACATTCCACCAGGCAAGAAATGTATATAACTGCAACCCTTAAAAAAGACACACAAAAGGTAGTGCTCAGTACTGTTTCTAACATTGGTGCTTGGCCCTCAAGAACCAGTTTCTTCTTCCAGTTTCTCAGAGAACAAGACTCTGAGATTACAGTTGGATAATAGGGAGCAAACTGCTCTTTCACCAAATGTGTGTTTTCTGATCACCAAAAGTTGTATTGCCAAATACGCCCTCAAAGAAAATTTATAATTTGGGGCAAGAAACTGAAGAAGCAAATGAAAAGTATGTTGGTTATCTTTTAAAAATACTATAAAGTAAAAAGCAAATAAAACAACCACACCCGTTTAAATTTCCCTGTTTGAAAATGCTAGTTCTGCAGCTGAAAGTGATGGTACTTGTTATGTCCTGAGCCTTGCAAGCAGGCTCGGGGCATTGCAGGCGGTCCCGGGCAGGTGCAAGCTGCCCGGGACTAGACAGGCTGTTGCCAGTACGTGTGCGCATGCGCGGGTGCTGGTGCGCCAAAAGTAGCAGATTGACCCGGGGAAGGCCTATAAAAGGAGGCCGAGAGTTTTGGGTGTTGCCGCCATATTCCAATGTAAGCTGAACTGAAGAATAAAGGTTTCCTGAGAACTACAACTGCTTCTCTTGTCTTACCATTTCACGATGGACTCAATACTGGCGACGAAGGTGGGATTGCCTTACATCGAAGAAGAGAAAGTGTAAGCTTACCCGAGTGAGTCCGGAGCGGCAGGAACGGTGTTGACTCGGCAGCTACCCGCCAATCCAGCGTGCATTCGGGGGTAGGCTGGCTGATAGACCCTTCCTGATACGAAATGGCGAAGATTGGAAGGCTTTCGGAATTCAATGTCTCACATCCAGAGAGGTGGGAGTCCTACGTAGCCAGGGTGGAAAACTACCTTAAAGTGAACCAGGTGAGAGAAGAGAGCTTGAAGGCTGCCACCCTGTTGTGCGTTTGCAGTCAAGACGCATTCGAAATCGCTGAGAACCTCGCAGCACCTGTTCCTTTAGAGTCTGTCAGCTACGCAGATCTAAAGAAGTTACTGAAGGAGCACTTCCAACCCAAGATGTCCGTCATCGTGTGGCGCCACACCTTCCAGCAGAGGGATCAACGACCCGGAGAATTGGCCAAGGAGTACATCGCCGTACTGAGGAAAGCCGCCAAACATTGCGAGTTCAAGGACCTCGAAGAACGACTGAGGGACCGATTTGTGTGCGGGCTAAGGCATCGAGAGTTACAACAGAGACTTTTCGCCAAGGAGGACTTATCTTTCCAAGATGCCTTGAGAGAGGTCACCGCAGAAGAAGCAGCGGGCGGCGCCATCAAAAACATGCGGCCAATCAGAAACAGTCCAGATGCCGCATCCGTGCACCAGGAAGAAGTCCAAAGAAACTCCGAGGAGGATCCGGATGAGGAAGTGGACCGTCTCCACCCCACAAAGGAAGGAAAATCAAGAGGAAGCTCTTCAGCTCTCCCCAAGTGCATCGGTTGTGGAGGTCGCCACAAGAGAGCCGACTGCAAGTTCCGCTCCGCTATCTGCCGGGCGTGCGGAAAACAAGGACACATTGCAGCTGTGTGCCTGGGCCGTCAGAAGGTACAACCTCAGGAAGAATTGCGCCTGAAAGGTACCAGGGTCCCCAGCCAGAATAGGGTGGGGTTTTGGGCTTCACGAAGAAGCATCTACAGGACAGGCACACACAAGCCCATTAAGAAAAAGCTGTCACTTAAGGTGAAGCTACAAGGGGTTCCATTAACTATGGAACTGGACACGGGGTCTGCACTTTCAATCATTTTTATGTACACATTTAAGAAGATTTGTTCCGGCAGCGGAACCCAAGCCAAGTTGAGGCCTTCTGACATTGTGCTAACGGATTTTCAAAAGTCCAGAGTGTGTGTTAAGGGGGAGGCCACCCTTAATGTACAGTATAAGGATTTTGAGGGTCCACTAGACCTACTAGTAGTAGAGGGTGAATGAACGAGTCTCATAGGACTCGAGTGGTTTGAGGCCGTGGGGATACACGTCACAGGGCTCAACAGCCTACAAACACTCGACCTACAGGAAGTCTGCAAAGAATTTGCAGATGTTTTCAGCCCCCAGCTGGGCACATTCAAAGGACCCCTTGTGTCATTAAAGTTAGACCCCACGGTCACTCCCATTAGAATTAAAGCAAGAAGGGTCCCTTTTGCTTTAAAGAGTAAAATTGACACTGAGTTGGACAAACTGATCCAACAAGGAATTCTAGAACCTGTTGACTCCAGTCCATGGGAGACCCCCATTGTCACGCCTCTTAAGGCAAATGGGGACATTCGCATCTGTGCTGATTACAAATGCACTCTAAATAAGGCATTGCAGCAACATGCCTATCCTGTTCCTGTGGTCAGTCATATCCTGGCCTCCCTCAAGGGGGGGCGCGTTTTTGCAAAGCTTGACCTAGCTCAAGCATATCAACAGCTGCCTGTTGATGATGACGCTGCTATAGCTCAGACTATTGTGACCCACAGAGGGGCTTTCAAGGTAAAGAGACTTCAATTTGGAGTAAATGTTGGTCCTGGGATTTTCCAAAGCGTAATGGAAAACACACTACGGGGTATACCAGGGGTTTGCCCCTATTTTGATGATATCTTAATTGCAGGAGACTCCACACACATTCTAGCTGAAAGGCTAAGGGCTGTCCTGTTAAGGTTCAGGAAAACGGGACTCAAACTCAAGAAGGACAAATGTAAAATTGGGGTACCATCTACTGAGTTTCTGGGGTTCAAAACTGATGCTGCTGGGATTCATCCTGCTGAATCCAAACTAAAAGCCATTATGCAAGCCCCTAGGCCAAAGTCTAAGGCCGAACTACAGGTTTTTCTGGGCCTTCTGAATTTCTACAATTCCTTTCTTCCACATAAGGCTAGTGTAGCTGAGCCTCTTCACAGGCTATTAGACAAACAGGCAGTGTGGCAGTGGTCACAAACACATGAGGCTAGTTTCAACGAGGTCAAGGCCTTACTCACTTCTAACAGTGTACTTGCTCACTTCAATGAGTCCCTTCCTGTGTGCATCGCTTGTGATGCTTCCCCTTATGGGGTGGGTGCTGTATTACTCCAGGACATTGTCTTCAGCTGAGCGCAACTATGCTCAAATAGACAGGGAGACCTTAGCTGTTGTTGCTGGAATTAAAAAATTCCATGATTTTTTGTATGGAAGGCATTTCATGGTCTTCACTGACCATAAGCCTTTGTTGGGACTGTTTACCACACGTAAACAAACTCCCCAAATCATCTCCCCCAGGATGCTCAGGTGGTCTATCTTTTTGGTCTGCATATGATTTTTCCCTACTTCACAAGCCTGGAAAGGAAATGGGCCATGCTGATGGCCTCAGTAGATTACCCCTGCCGGTAATAGAGGCTGACCCCACACCAGCCACCAATATTCTCTCCATTCAAGCCTTGCCCGAGTCCCCCCTGAATGCCAGGGATGTAGCCGCTGAATCAGGCACAGATCACACACTCTCACATGTCCTTTCTTGGGTTTTGTCTGGATGGCCTGAGCACTGTCCTAGTCCTGAGTTTCAGAGTTTCTGGTCTAAAAGGAACGAGTTGTCCACCTCTCAGGGTTGTCTGCTTTGGGGAAGCAGAGTTGTCATTCCCACCTCAATGAGGACTAGGGTCTTAGATTCCCTCCACGAGGGTCATCCTGGCATTGTACGAATGAAGGCTCTTGCACGCAGCCACTTGTGGTGGCCAGGTGTAGACAAAGACATAGAAGCTAAGGTGCATGCTTGCCACCTTTGTCAACGCTCATGCCCTGAAATGCCCCAAGCTCCTGTGCATAGATGGGAGGAAACACAGTCTCCATGGTCTAGGGTGCACATTGACTATGCTGGGCCCTTTCAGGGTCAATTCTTCTTGGTCCTCGTTGACAGCCATTCAAAATAGCTTGAGGTTGTACCTGTCTCTTCCACCACCACTGCAAAGACTATTCAGGTACTGAGGGGGATTTTTGCTGCACACGGGCTCCCAGACGTCATTGTGTCTGACAACGGCCCTCAATTCACTTCCTCCGAATTCCAAGCTTTCTTGCAGGCTAACATGATTCGTCATGCCACTTCTGCACCTTTCCACCCGTCCACCAACGGTATGGCTGAACGCATGGTTCGCATCACCAAGGACGCCTTGAAGAGGCTCACCTACGGGGACTGGCATCACAGGTTGGCTGACTTCCTCCTTTCTTATCGCACCACACCGTCCACTTCTACAGGGAGAAGCCCAGCTGAACTTCGTTGGGGGCGCAAACTGACTACCAAGCTTGACCGGTTGCATCCGGACAGACTGCCTCCTTCTGTCTCACACCCCAGGGCACCTAGGCAACTACTTGTGGGTGCTCCGGTTTGGACTCGTAATTATGGGCCTGGTCATACATGGGTCCCCGCTTCTATATCCAGGGTCACAGGTCCTCTATCCTACGAGGTATCCCTGGACAATGGTCGTGTCCTGCGTCGGCACATTGACCAACTTCGCCCTAGACGGGACCTTCCCGCTGAGACTCCTGGGTCTTTTCCAGGGGGGGAGGGGGAGCCCTTTGGGCAAAGGGAGGGGCATGGAATGCTGCCCTTTACCAATGAGGGAGCCACAAACGGCCCATCCCAAAATTCCGCGAGTGCTCCAAACAGGAATTCTAGGAGCTTAACCAGTTATCAGGCATTCACGCCTACTCCAGCCAGGGAGTCACCCCGGGGGCATGATCACTTTTCACCCTTATCACCCAGTACTCCAGTCAGAGAGAATACCTGGGAGCATCCCAACAATCCATTTCCTGCAAGAGAACTGGCACACACTCCTCCTAGTTGGCCTGACTTCAACCCTGTCCCTAGAAGGGGGCAAACACACAGGGAGGTTGTCGAGGAACCAAATCCCGACTACAACACCTCTGACTACACTCAGGGGGCAACTGAGTTTTGGGACTGTACTGAAACCCACACAAGCCCGGACACAGAACGGGATTCAGGGGATAGACAGCCTCCTGACAGGTTTTGGACGGACCTAGGAGGTTCTACAGAAACGCCCAACAGTGACAGTCACTTAGAAGGGCCAGAGAGCCTACAGCTAGGCGGGACAACCAGGTCATACACTGGAAGAAGCCCTGGCCTGACGAGCCCGGTGAGCAAGCAAGCAGGCCAGGCATTGGAGCACAGTCCTTGGGAGTCACCAAGGCATAACAAGGGGAACAGACACACATCACCCCTCAGTAGGGGGTACCTGTCAGACACCCAGAGCTTAGGAGGTCACAGAGAGCAAGGAAATCTCCTAAGTACTTAGAGGATTACATAACACTATTGGCTAAACAGAGCCAGTAGAAGGGTAGAAACACTAAGGCAACGGAAACGGGGGGAACTCCGACCATTGGGGGAGCAGAACATTGTACTAAGAGTGGGTTGTGTATTATTATGGCATTGGTCATAGTTTTAGCCCGGGGGAAAGGGGTGTTATGTCCTGAGCCTTGCAAGCAGGCTCGGGGCATTGCAGGCGGTCCCAGGCAGGTGCAAGCTGCCCGGGACCAGACAGGCTGTCACCAGTACGTGTGCGCATGCGCGGGTGCTGGCGCGCCAAAAGTAGCAGATTGACCCGGGGAAGGCCTATAAAAGGAGGCCGAGAGTTTTGGGCGTTGCCGCCATATTCCAATGTAAGCTGAACTGAAGAATAAAGGTTTCCTGAGAACTACAACTGCTTCTCGTGTCTTACCATTTCGCGACGGACTCAACAGTACTTGCAAAACTTTTTCTAGTACACCAATTGTTCTCCTTTCCTAGGTTGGTGGGCCCTTCAGACAGTCACTTACACCCTGGACATCTCACAACTCGACTATGTTGTCCTTGAAGGCCACCTGAAAATTTTAATTAGTATAGAATGCAGTGGCATGGCTGGTTATTGACATAGCTTGGTATGCTTTGTGAGTTGCACTGGTTGCCAGTTTGCTTCCAGCTGTGATTTGATGTGCTGGTATACCTATAGACCCTTCATGGCATAGGGCCCTAACAGTTTGGTTACATGAGAGACTCCTGAAAAGCATTGAAGACCTGGCTCTTCACCCAGGCCTTTGATGAGTATGAATAAAGATCTACCCTTTCTTCCGTTTCTTTGTTCCCATCTGGTTTTGTTATCCCTGCCATTTTTGTTCTTTTTTTTTTTTGTCTTATGTTGTTTTCTTGTTCTAAATGTTTTAACAGTTTTTAAACTGCTCAGAGTTCCTGGGAGTTGGTCTATAAATTTTAGTAAACTATTACTACTATTATTTAAAAATCTTTAAACTATTTAACTCCAAGTGTGTTGTCCTTGTACCTTTTCCATAAAGTCAGATTTATGTAGAGCAAGGCTTCTATAATCCAGGGATTCCCTATAGTTAGAAAAAACACATATAGTACTTCCATGGGAAATGAAAGCTATGCTGGTTACTGAAATAATTAACAATTTGTATTTTTCAGTCTGTTTTCATAATTGCATGAAAAGCAGAAAATATTAAACCCTGTTGGCTTATTTTTATATGGTATGATGTAACAGTCATGTTTCCTAATGGAAATAGATCTCTTGGGATCAGGGAATATACCTGGGATTTGACCTTGCAGAGACCTAACTAAAAATGTCCAACACAAGACTCATCTTTGTATTTTATAAACATAAGAACAGCTTTGCTGAATAAGGCTAAATGCTCATCCACATCACAAAAGATTGGGCTGCCCCAGATGCATCTGAGAAACATCCAGGAGAGGAAATTAACAAGCATTTTTCTCTGTCTTAGATTTCAAGCCCATTTCTCAGCATTACAGTCAATTTCTGTCACAATACATGGCTATGTAAGAACTTGGAAACTGACTTGTCATCTTATTTTATTTTTCTGTATATTACGCACAAATAAATCTCTTGACTTCATTTAATCTCTATAATGGAAAATGATTCATCTGCCTAGAGCAGCATAGTGATATTGCAATTAAAATCAGAGCAGCAGGACCAATCAAAGAAATGGCAACCTTGACTGGTTATGTTCAAGAAAGCATGCTTAGTCCCTGCAGACTAATGGCAAAATATATTATTTATTTCCCTTAGGTATTTTTATAGATTTATATCCCACCTTTCCTGCAAGAGTTCAAAGTAGAGTATATTGTGAAGTCATACAGCCTTCAAATTTACTCCCATAACTGTATCATATGAGGTAGACAAGAATAAGAGATAATTACTATACTATACAGATAATCCTCGTTTAACAACTTTAATCGGGACTGGAATTTCCATCATTAAGCAAAAGGTTTGTTGGCTGAATTATTTGAATCACTTAGTAACTAGAGTTCTGGTAATCGTGAATGCAATAATTAGGCTAGGACTGTATTGTTGTTTCATCACAATTTCATGCTTCTCTTGCTCTGCCATGCTCATCTCTACTTCAACTCCACCCTCACCTACCTCCCCCCCATCTCTGCCCTTTGGCTCCCTTGCATTCCACTGCCTACCACTTTTACCCCAGCTGACCTTCGCTATCTTCCTCCTCTTGCTGCTGAAGCTTGCCAAGGCATTGCTGGCCCTTTGTGAGGACCTCATGTGGCCTCCCTGAAGCCTCCATGCAGAGGAGAGAAGGATATAAATGGGTAAGGGGGCATGAAGTACACACTATATTTGTAAATGTGGACAGACTACCAAATGCCTGAATGTCGATCACATGACCTTGGGGCCACTGCAACATCTATTAATTTTGAGGATTGGTTGTAGCTATCATTCATTCAGTGCTGTCGTAATTTGAAACAGTTGCTGAACAAATGGTTGTTAAGCAAGGACTACCTATACAGTTTTGCTTGCTGTAATCCAACACCAGCATTCACTACTGATTGTGCAATAATAGTATGTCTTTCAAAGAAGAATCTGGCTTGTGAGTAAATAGCCTCAGGTTCAATCCTAGCAATTCTAAATAGGACTTTTTTTATGAGGCGCCTCCCATCTCATCCTGAAAGATAGGCCTGAAATACTGGAAAATTAGAAACAGAACTAACCTTTCTCAATCTGATGGCCTTCAAATAAGTTAAATAATGATGACGTGCTAGCCCAATACATCTGCAGGACATTGGATCAGTCTAGGATGCTGTAGACAATACTGAATCAAATACAACAATGGCCAATACAGAATAAGGCCACTTCTGACTTTTTTTTAATCCTCTGAAAGTTGCAAGCATATAATGACAGCTATTAAAGGGTAGTGCATCAGTTTGACCCAGACGTTCCTAAGGGCAGGACATTGGAAAAATCACAGCTAGGGAATACGGTCCTGGATAAGGTACCAATTACATGGTCTTCACTGATATTCCTGTATGGTGGTTGTCATGGTTGATAGCTCTTTCTATGTAATTCCATAAGAGAGCCACAAAATGGACAGATAGCAAAGAATACGGGACCTGGCAAATGCAAGGTAGGATTTATTACCTGTTTTGGTAAGAGGGTAGGTTGCTAGCTGTCGAATCAAGTGATTCTGAGAGGATCGCAGGAGTAATACAATATCAGCTGGCAAGGTATCTCTGTTTTTGGCTAAGAACCCACTTACATTATAAAGAACCTGAATGAAAATATAAAAGGTCAGGAACAGTTATTTAACTGTTATTTTTTTTCTTCAACTGCTTCTCTGTTCTTGAATTAGGAAATAAAATATAAGAAAAAAAAACAAGGTAGGTGATATTCAGCTATCATATGAAGGCCATGGAGGGAAGATTATTATAGGTCTGCTATTCACCTGAGTAGGCCATTACAGGCCTACTATTCAACAAGATACATATAATATACTAGGATACAGTAAATGTGTGAGGCCAGCATCCCCAGCAGAAGAGTATGTGTACTGTATATGGCAAAAAGCCCTATATACAGTATATAGTACCAATGGCAACAAATATGTGCTTAAGGTTCTTCCTCAAGACTTGGAAGGTGTGCCTTGAGTTTCTGTTCACAAGGAAGATTTACATTTTGGTTTTTCCTCATGGACAGTGAACTTGGGGCCACTAGGAGGTGAAAAGTAACCAGTGTTAATAGTGATTAACATGGCAGAGAGCAAAATCTTGCTTCCCTTAACAAACTGCCAATGTTCCATCAAATCTGGTGGTGGCCATAGGATTAAAATAATTAATTAATACACAACATAAAAGGAGCTTTAAATACTGGAATTAAAACTGGAGCTTTCATTTGAAGAAGATGTACAAATGGACATTCATTCTAATGCAGTTACAAGCATATAGGTCAGTATTGTTGTTCTCCAGCATGATAGATGTAGCATCCACCGGTGGGTAATCACAGCCTTCCTGCTCAGTTGAGACTAAGGCAGAACTTTAGCCACGCCTCCCTTGGGTGGTCCTTTCCTTCAGTTTTGTCTTAGTCTCAGCTCAGTAGGACACAAAATTTGTAGCTCCTCAGTTAGGATAATTCAAAGAGTTGTTTTTTATGTTGTTAAAGTTCCCTTGGGCTCCGAGAGCAGAAAGGAGGCGCGTGCGGAGGCTTGATTAAAATTCTCTATGACATCTCCATTTTGGGCGGCAAGAGACTAATGGCCGCCATTTTGATCCTTACACTGGGTATGGCCGCCATTTTGAAGCAACGTGGATTGAGGCCTCAATCTGGCCGTTTTCTCTTTCCAGTAGCCTGCTACACTAGGCTCTCAAGGGGGTTTATAGAACATATTTAAATATCGTTATCCTATAAGGATTCACCAGAAAGGAGATGCGAGCCTCATTAAGAGATAACTTTTGATCACTACATACTATTGGCTGAATTAATTCTGAGGGAGAATTTTGGAAGACCTGTTCTTATTAGTTCGCGGAGCTGTGTTGCAGGGCCTAAGCGGACAATTCTAGGGAGCTGTCTGGTGTTTGTCATTGCAGTTGTTCAGGGTGCGGGAAGCTCCCAGACAACTAGACAACGTGCTCTTACCCCCATTCCTGGGTATCTCCTATCTGGAAGGTCCAGTGCGCAATGGCAGATAGTGAAACTCCTTAGACATTGCAGGGTTCTGAGGTTCCCCCCACACAATCTAAATGCAGATCTTCTGATTTGAGCATGGGGGGGGAGAAAAAGGCTAAGACCAAGCATTTAACCACCAAAGAACCCTCCAAGACTGCTGAGCGAGAGGCCTCGAGGAGACATCAGGCACTGGAGAAAGAATTATCCAGAGTTCAAAGGCTCAGGTCCAGCGAAACTGAAGTGGTTCCCCCTGTTTCGCTGGATAGCTCACCATTTGAGCCTCCACTGGTGCCGTCTTATCAAGCTCCCAGAGCTTGGTCTCCTTAAGGGAGAACTGAGCAAGTTGGTCTCCCCCCTCCTATTCCTCCTATTCCTCCACCTCCTCCTCCTACTCCTTCGGTTTCTTCTGCTCCCATCACCCCTCAGACTCCTGAAGCCACTGCAGCTGGTGTTGGTTCTGCAGAGCAAAACTTATGGGCATAGCAGTTCCAGACATTTATGCACCAGGCCTTTGACCAATTTATGGCATCTTCCATGGGTCAAAGGTCTTCACAGATACTGCCTCCTCCACCCTTGCCCATAAGTCATATTGGGCATGTCCAGTTAGCGGGCTCAGGTATTTCTGAGACTTTGTCTCAGCTAGGTGAAGCGGAGTCTGTGGACCTGGAGACAACTGACATACCTATATCAGAAGATGAAGAGGTGGCCCCGGATCCGACTCCAACATCGAGTCTTTTTGATCCTTCCCTGTTTAGATCACTACTGTTAAAGGCTTGCACTATGGCCAATTTGGTTACAGAACAGGAGCCTAAACCATCTACCTCCACTGCACAGGAGTCCAATCCACTGTTTGCGGTACAGGTTGTGGAGGAAAAACAGGTCCCTTGTCTGGCTGTTTTCTGCACTACTGTGGAGAAGCAGTGGGCTTCATTGGGCACTCTGCCTCCACTCAATAGCATGGAAAAGAAGCTGTTCAATGTCTCATCTACATTTTTTTCCCTCCTAGAGGTACCTACAGTGGACACTCCCTTAACCTCACTGTTCTCCACATCCACGATTCCTGGAAATATGGCGGAAGCTCTTAAAGCGGAAGACAAAAGGTTCGAGTTTTCTTTCTGCAGAGCTCACCAGGCCTTGGCTTGAGCAATCAAGGCGTGTATCACGGGTGTTCTATAATCCTGGAGGAAGCTTTTTCTTCCTTCCTTCCTTCCTTCCTTCCTTCCTTCCTTCCTTCCTTCCTTCCTTCCTTCCTTCCTTCCTTCCTTCCTTCCTTCCCTCTTCTTTCTTTCTTGCTCTTTCTCTCTCTTACACACACACACATACACACACACACACACAGAGAGAGAGAGAGAGAGAGAGAGAGAGAGAGAGAAGGAAGGTATAAATGTGTTGCAGAGTAAATATCTGTAGCCATTCAACATTTAACAAACTTAGACTTTTGTAATATATTGAAACGTTGGCCCAGCCTGTTATAAAATAATCACATTAATAGAGAAGAATTAGTTAGTCTTCTTACCTGCCCTGCATAATGATTGATGCCAAATGTCAAATCAATTCTCTTTGGTCTCCAGAAATATTTAGATCTCAAATTGTCTTCAAATTTTTCTGTAAAGATAAACACTGCTCCTGTAACATCACCAATATTACCTTAGCTTTTTTTTATCACTCATGTAAATAAGCATTTAGAAATTTAAAAAAATATTTTGGTGGTATGAAGGAAAATTACGCTGGAAAGGATACTCTGAACTTCCTTCTGCTCTGGGTTAAATAGAGGAAGACTTAATGGTTCTGCCTGATATTTCTGCTGAATGGCTTCTTGAAGCAAAAAATATTAGCTATACAGATACTATTAGCAGTATGAATATTTTCACCCTGAAGGCATAAGCGAAAGCACTTTAGTGAGAAATCTGTATAAAAATGGGTAAATCTATCAACTTCAGCTTTGCTCAGTTTGATATTTTTTCAACCATGAATTTATTTTGTCTGCCTTTTTTAAAAAAAGTCTGTATTTAGTTTATATGTATAATTTCATAGAGATTTCTACTAAAATGTATCGCATTCTCACTTTTTGCTAATCTATGTATTTCTTTAAGTAATTATGATTTTTTTGTTAACAATTTCCCCAGCATACACATTTGGGTATGTGTTTGTTTTCCAGTCACACATTTTTGTAGGCATTTTGGATATGACTTTGGCATTGTTAAGGTGCAGATTCTGAAGTGTCAGAAGTCAGAATAACAAGAGTTGGAAGGGACCTTGGAGTCCAATTCTAGTCCAATTCTCTCTCAAGCAGGAGACTTATACCATTCCAGACAAGTGGCTGTCCAGTCTTTTTTTAAAGGAGCACCTACAACTTCTGAAGATAAGCTATTCCATGATTAATTGTTCACACTATTAGGAAATTTCTCCTTAGTTCTAGGCTGCTTTTCTGCTTAATTAATTTCCATTCGTTGTTTCTTGTCTTGCTTTCTAGTGCTTTGGAAAATAGGTTGAACCTCTCCTTCTTTTTGGCAGATCCTCAAGTATTGGAACTCTGCTATCATATCACCCCTACTCCTTCTTTCCACTAGGCTAGACAAACCCAATTCCTGCAACCATTCTTCATGTTTTAGACTCCAGCTCCCTAATTATCTTTGTGGCCTTTTCTGCATTCTTTCCAGAATCTCTACATCATTTTTATAAAATGCTAACCAAACTGGATGCTTCCATACTAAAATGTTGTAAAGTGGTACTAATACTTCACATGATCTTGATTCTATTCCTTTGTTAATGCAACCCAGAATTGCATTGGGTTGTTTTTTTTAAATAATATTTTTATTAATTTTCTGATTTTACATTTAGATATTTAAAAAGCAATGTGATGGCTGGGTTAATCAATAGTTCAGTAACATACAAAAAATCTTTAGTACAAATCTCAAACTACAACCTCAAATATTTCCTCTCTCTTTTCCCTTAATATCTACTATCTCATATTTAAGCTAATACAGTTCTTATTATATCAACTAAATAAAAACATCATTATTACATTTATCAATAAATTTTTAGCTTGTACATATCTTAATTACTTTTACATTCAATCTTTACATTCAATCAATGTCCTGTTATTGGTCCCCCCCCCAATTTTTATTTTCCCATCAATATTCAAATTTAACATTTGATATAATTTCTAGGTTTTAGGTAACCAAAGTTTCCTTTATCTCAAATCATAACAGAATCTAATATTCAAAATACACATCTTTTGTATTTGGGTATAATCTTGTTCTATTTCCTAAAAGTTATCTATTCCCCCCCCCATCTTACATCTTCTAATTAATAATACAGTATCCTCTTTAATAAATCAAAGCCCATTATATATATATATTATCTAAGTTAACCAATAAATCAAACATATTCATAATATTTTTTTCCTTTTGGGTATAATTGTTACGTATTTAACAAATAGCATCCTTATTTTCAACTAATTTCCAATGTTTTAAATATATCTTAATTTCTTCCTTTGACCCTCTAATTAGTAATATGAAATCCCCTCTGATAAATCAAAACCCCAATTTTCTTCAACCTTATTTTGGCTTTCTTTCTTTGCCAACTAGCCTTCCATGTCAACGTTTTTAAATAATCAAACAGATCTCCCTCTATTATTACATATATTGTTTGGAATAAGAGAAACCATTTAGTTGCCATTTTTTGGAAGGGCTAGCCCATTTGTATTCCTTAAATCGTCTCCCTATTATTCCAAATCCCCATAATTGTCTTGGTATGTTTATCTTCCATTCAGTCTGTTCTGCTTCTTGCTCCTCAAATTTCTTCTGATTTATATGTAAAGTCTTTTTCATTTTCAGTGTTGTCAATTCCTTTTCTGGATATTCCATTGACTGTATTTGTTGGTCAATTGTGTATCTTAGTATTTGATTGTTCCACTTCTTTTGTTACCTTCTGCATTGTTAGTTTTTTAGAATTTGGGTTTGTATATGTAAGCTGACATCTTGTTCTTTTGTGTAACATTTTGTCACAAGCTGAAAGGATAATTCATGTATTGCTTTCAACATGGAAATAATCTTTTCCTGGTCTTCATCCATCTTCTCTTAATGGTACATTAAGTTGAAGACTTTGAATCAGACAATAAAAATAATTTTATAGCTGGGTATGGGACCTCTATTTCACATGTTTGTAGGTAGTCTTTATAGTAAAAGTCGTTTGTCAAGTCAGATTTTATAATCCAAGGTATTTCATCATCTCAAATAATGACCAATATTCCTTAGATAAAAAAGTAGGAAGGCAATTCCCCACATACAGCTCTAAAAATCAATAAAGGTTTACATTCATAGTTCAAAGAGGCCAGTCATGTCACCTAGAAGTTCTCTTTACAGCTGAACTCCTCACAGGTGGTGTTTATGAAAGTTAAAAGAGTCTTATCTGTAGTCTGGGTTTCAAACCAAATCTCCTTTAGGCAATAACAACTTGTGATACCAAGTTTCGCCACAGGATGTCACCAATGCCACTTAAGGTTTTTTAAGTCTAAAATTTTTATAGTTCTTTTTCCAGTTTTATTCCTTTTTTATAGATAAAAACAAAGGCGGTAAAAATAAAGAACTTTTGGTCCCCAAGTTTTAGAAACATATAAATCCAATTAGATTAAAGTTATTCTTTTAGTGCTTTAACTCCCCTGGTAGTTAGTTGCCGCTATTCTTAGAGGGTGGGATAGAAATTCCCTTCCCTCTCTCCTCACAGGGGGAAAGATACTTTGGGCAGCTTTTAAAGGAAGAAAAATAGTTAGGATCTTAGAGAGAAGATCGGATCTCATCCAGTTTCATCCGCGTTGCTTTAGAAGTGCCGGGTGGTAAGTTTGACTTCAGCTGTCTGCAGCCTAGTGATGAATCATATTGCTATGGCTGGTCTTTCCTCCGCTGGTTTGGAGAGCTGCCCCGGATCAAGCAGAAGGGCTGCTGCCAACTCTTTCCAGGGTCCCTCAGCGGAAAGAAACCAAACACGGAAGACGGAGCTTGCCTTCCAGCATCCGCGGCGGCCACAATGGCAAACCGGAAGTCAGGATTGCATTGGGTTTTTGACTGCTGCCACATACTGCTGGCTCATATTTAAGTGACTGTCCATTAGGACTCCAACATCCCTCTCAGTTACTGCTTGTGAGCCTGATTTCACCTAATCTATACCTGTTCATTTGGTTTTTCTTGTCTAAGTATAAAACCTTACTTTTTTCTACATTGAATTTCATTTTGTTAGGTGGACCCAATGTTTGAGTCTGTGGGGATCCATTTGGATCTTGAGCCTATCTTCTGGGGTGTTGAGTAAGTGTGAATTATATATTTTTAAAGTAATCTGTGAAACAATCCTATTCAGTGTTGAGATTCAGCCAGTTCGCACAGTTCAGCAGAACCGGTAGCTAATTTTTTGTTGTCTAGGCCCAGAATGGACTTCCGGAAGTGGTTTCCACACAGAGAACCGGTTGTTCACGTATTTGAATCCCACCACTCATCTTATTTCTTTTTCAACCCTAAAAAAGGCCAATATATCTTTACATACAAGCTGCCAACAGCTTACCAACAAGTGTTTGATCAGTGGCTTGAGGAAAACCACTTTCTTCATCAAGAAGAGACAGTAATCCCATTGGCTTTTGTAGGAATATATCTAATAGTGGTTTGTTGTCCTCATACTCAATAATTCGTGCATCAATGCCTTCATTCATGTATTCATTCTGTAAGAAATAATAAAAAGTGTTTTTCTGAAGTATTTTGTAAAGATATCATGTGCATATGAATAAAGAGAAAAAAGCAAATGGATTTAATAAAAGATCTAAGAAATATGGTCTGAACCTAAGCTTCCAATCAAGCAGTAAATCCTTATGTCTATTTACTTGCCTATCAGTCATGAAATTAATTTATATACTTCATTCAACCTTCATCATAATAATTCTCTTAATATCACCCCAAATGTTTTTATAGAAAATCATGAAAAATGCCAGGAATTGAATCAAATAATAATAAAATTCAGTAATAACTAAAAGAGCTGGAATTAATATTTTCATCCCACAAGGCACCATTTGCCTTTAGCATCGCTATGGTTAGAATGGTCATTATTATAAAGCTGTAAGGAATCTAATTTCGCTCGAATTTAAATGGTAACTTTATAAGCTGGCCTTCAAAGCATATCAAAAATAACCCCAATCTGTTGATAGTTGGCACAGGGAAAAATTTGTCTAATGCCAAAGATCCAATTGACATATTGTCCCAAAACGTGGCATTTCTCCATAAACTTTCTATTCTTCTTTTCTGCCCTCATGAGTTTCTCAGTGCCCACTTTCAACCAGTCATGTTCTTGCTTCTACTTATTCTTTTTGAGCCACTCTGCAGAAGATCTCAAGAGTGTAGGCATCAAACCTCATTTTCACCAAAACCTTACTAAAAATGTAAGAGAAAAGAATGAAGCAAAGGACATCTACTGGAAAAACAAACATAGCAGTCCATGATTCAAGCTCTCTCAAGCTTTCTGAGAAAGAAGCAAGGAAGTCCAGGAATCCTGGTCCCTGCACATCAAGCCACATCTCTGGCATGACCCAGCAGAAGGAATTTGAAGGAAGTTTGCATCCAATAATATATACTCGTGGAGCAAGACCTCAATGAGAAATTGGTGATATCTTCTTGAATTCAGGACAATGCAGCAGTAGTTTGCCTCCCGTATCAATTTATGGAGCCCTAAGAGGAATTACCCAGTCATTGAAATTACTGGGTAAAAACACTCAACTGAAGGGCCAAAAATGCATTGCAACATTTTTTTCTACACTATAAACAAAGCATCATCTGGGATTTTTGTAACATTTGTTCTTTCTCTCCAATGAAGAACACATTCCAAAGCAAATATCCCAAACATTGTTTTAATCAGCTAAATATTATTCTTTCATTCTTTTTCTAAACTCCACCAGTCTATTTACTGACCCATAAAGTTTATTCATTTTTAGTAATTGTTCCATTTTGTTTTACGGCCATCTTAAAAATCAAATACATCATACTGTTATATTAAATTACCCATTTTCCAAATTAATATGGGATATTTCCTTCATGAAATAAAACTGCTAATTCCTAGTCCCAACTGGATTCATAGTTAATATGCTTGCTGGCAAATTAATAACACAGTCACTTTTATATAAAGAATTGCTCAGTATGCTGTCCATTTTTATTTTTATTTTTGCTCTTGAACCATAAATTATATCGTATGCCTTATTCCACATCAAAACAAAATTGCAATTGCACCAAACCCATTATCACTTAATTCCGTTGCCTGGATACTTTAAATGAGAAGCTTAATGCATTTTTAGACAGACATTTAACTTGTAGTAAGTAATCAAACAATTGTGCGCAGAACACACATACAAATATGCACCCTTCCAATTCTATTTTTTGCTCTCTCCAAGGAAGCCAAGATTACCTTTGCTAGATAAAAATATATGAATTCAGAAAGTATCAAGTTCTTTCTTTCATTTTTTTTTCTCTGCCTGCTTACACTATACCAATGAGAGAAGTTAGCCCAGAGAAAGAAATATTAAAAAGGGCAGAAAAATATATTTTTCCTCAAAAGGACTTTTTAAAACCAAACCTGGCCCCAAATCGATCTCTCTGGCCCAAGCAAGACTTTAGCCCCATACAAATGCAGATGTAAAACCATCAGAAAGTTGGAGCCAGAGCAATCAAGAAGACAAAAGAGAAGATCTGCATACCCCACCCAAACTCTAGGAGTCAGCCCCATCACCTGGACTCCCAAAGCAGTCACCATATTTGCTTATTTATTCCCGGCTTGGATGAACCAGGATGAAGACTTTACTTCTAACACCAGTGATGGTGAACCTTTTAGAGACCGAGTGCCCCAAAACCACCTCGCCCCTGCCCCGTCCCCATGTCTCTTGCCCGCAGGACCACCCACCATCTCCATGGCCCGCCACAGCAGATCGCCCAGGCAGCCCAGTAGCATCATAGTGGCCACGCCCTCTGTCTGCACCCTGCAGCATCATCTGTACGCGATGGGGCGTGAGGGTGGAGTCTTGTCCCCGCTGCCCGGCTGCCATGTCCTTGGCTGCGCTGTTCTGCACAAGCTGCGCCCGGGGTGACTCTCCTCTGGGGAGGGGCTGCTGATGAGGAGGGGGCCACAGGGGGTGGCGTGCCATAGGTTCGCCACCACTGCCCTATACCACTGCACCCGTGCCATAGGTTTGCCACCACTGCACTATACCATTTGCCCAATTGCTCCTTATTAAGAAACAGTCTGTGCTCCTCTTGCCTGACCATCCCACTTTTTCCACATTCACAGCTACACATTGTTGATAGCATGTCAGGTTACAACATGTTCAACCTATCTGGATGAACATGCTATAGCTTGAGCATGGTTATGGCCTGGGCATTGTTAGACTCCTTTCTCTCATTTGCTGCCCGAGTGGCAAATTGTGAGCCTCAGTACCACTGACTGATTCTTCAATAGTAAATGAAAACTATTCATCTTGACATCACTTCTGGGACTTCCTCTTCCTTATACACTTTTTAAAAGGAGCACTACCTTCCTACCTTTTAATCTAGTTTTTGGCAAACATTTCTCTCTCTCTCTCTCTCTCTCTCTCTCTCTCTCTCTCTCTCTCTCTCTCTCTCTCTCTCTCTCTCTCTCTCTCTCTCTCTCTCTCTCTCTCTTTTGCTACTTTGAAACTGAAAAGTTGTTTTTGTTTTTAAAGCTCATCTGGCTTACGAGAACCATATCCCAACCTTCATTAGGATATGGGAAACCTCCAGTGGATCCTCAATTAAAATTTTCCTCAGCAGCATGAGCTGTGTTCCCAAGTCCTTCAACAGCTCCTAGAACAGTGGTGGTGAACCTATGGCACGGATGCCAGAGGCGGCACTCAGAGCCCTCTCTATGGGCACGTGTGCCATTGCCCAGTCCTAGGCCTTCAGCTGGGTTTTATAAAACCTTTTCGCTTTAGGCCTCCGCTGCCATGTGCAAAAAAAAAAAAAAAGTTTCAATCAGTCAATTTCAACTTCTCGTGGAAAAAAAAGGTCTTGCAAAGTTGGAATTGATTGACTGAACTTTTTAGTCCCACCCAGTCTGCCGTTACCACTGCAGCCATGCCACCCAATGGGCCACGCCCACCCAATTGGCCACACCCAGCCAATGGGCCACACCCACTCGGCACTCAACGATGCATAAGTGGGTTTTGGGTTGCAGTTTGGGCACTCAGTCTCTAAAAGGTTCGTCATCACTGTCCTAGAACATCACAAATGGAGAAAAGTACACTGGCGCACATATTCCCATAACTATGCTTACCTGTTCCCATGCAAAGATATTCTGATTGAAGTAAAACTGAATCTGTTCATTGGCAATGTTGATACAGAGCTGCTCAAAAGAATTTTTCTTGAAGTTTTCAAAACCAAAGATATCAAGAATTCCAATGTTTAGTCCTTTATCGCTTCCGCTGAAAATATGAAAGCTTTGTATTACATTTTAATCTCATTTATTTCATTTCAACTTCACAGAAAGCTCTCGTTTAAAATACTTAGGAATTATTATAGGCAGAAACTGGTGGAGTCTAATGTCCAAAGTTCTGGACATCAAATGTTGAATATCCCAGCTGCAAGAATTAATTTCTGAAAGCAAAGAGACTACAGAAACAATTGTTCTGTTATCAATGCTCTTGGACAAAGCATATACGACACATAAGTATTTGTATATCACGTGAAAAACTTATATTATTTTCCATTTTTTGTTTGGGGTTTTATTTGTTTAAACAAAATAAATACAAAGGAAAAAAGAAGGGAAAAATAGTAACAATATGCATATATTTAATATTTTTATATAAATACATTGGAACTTTTGAAAGACTCTGCATGAAAGAAAATGACTATGCCTATCCCTATCAGACAGAGGATATTCCATACTGATATTGAGTCATCTCAATTCATAGAGGGGTGGATGGAATCTCACCTTAAATCTGTAGTTGGTTTGAGCAGGACATTAATATGATTGACTATCCAACTAAAGAGCCACCCATACAATGTTTTGGCTGTAGCATCTCTCACATCAATAGCTTTTTCCACTGTGTTGAGTCGTATAATTGTTTCCCCTCGGGTAACCACACAATGAGAGGTTAGGGCTTGTTGCAACTTATTTGCTTGGATAAATAACAAGGAAGCAGCTAGAAATCAAATAAACGGTGTTACTTCCATATTTCCACAGGTATGTTCAGAAAGTTCAGGTCTGTTACTTAGTTTTGTATAAATACTTCTCCTAAGGCACTCTTTGGTAATCTCAGTATATGCTTCCTATTCTTATTCAATATTATAAGGAAGGGAGTTTTTCAAATGAAAAGAAAATTGCCCCATGGAAAGTACAAAGAAATATGAATCAATAATAAAAAGAGCAAAATTACCCAATATGCTAACAACAAATTTAATTCCCTGGAATACTATTTTTTTATGTAGAAAGATCTCAGCAAGACCCTAAGATCTGCAGAAATAGAAAAGTATTTTAACCTAATGAGGAATGAATATGTCTTTATTGACATAACCTTTCTTCTCCTTTTGGCCTGTCTTTCCTTATGTTTAATACTTCTTTTAAACAGAAAACTGCAATGAAAGAATTACACTACTTATTAAAATGTCTGGAGTGATTGCCTGCTATTTCAGCCCTGGGTTTACAGCTTGCTTATCCTACATCAAATCTTTTATGATTCGACAATGCAAAGCCATGCATGTTTTTCACTAGGATTTGAAGTTTTCTCTTAAGTATACATGACACTGTAGACTTTTCGCTTTTTTTCTAAATGGCTACACTAATGTTATTTGGCATAATATCTCAACATAAAACATTGAGGTTGAATGTCACCAGGGGAAACCTTGTTACACTTGTAGGCATCCACAAGCTTAATTCGGTCAAACCAGGCTCCCATTTGTTGACAAGGTCAATAATATTGGAGTTCTTGAAGTATTTTATCAACAGTATTCTGCTATGTTCAGATTGCTTCAGATTTCATAATGAACAAGACAGCTGAATAAGGTTGTAGTCCTATAGGTTAGATATAAGAAACTGGCATTCTTCAGCTTTTGCTTCAAATGCTGCAATCTCTGAACACTGAACATTTTGGCAAAGATCGTAAGAGTTAAAGATGAAAATATTTGTAGGCTCCAAATTATCTATGCTTGATATGCAGACTTCACTGAAAGCAAGCTCTCCTGAACTATAAGAAACACATTGCCAGTCTATTTTATAGATTAGAGTAACTCACAATTCTCCAGAGGCATTGGATTGGAAATTATGCTCTTGTCAATCATGTACTCTGTTATCTCTGATGAAAATTCAATGTTACCCAGATTTAAAATGGCAGCAAGTACACAGTACACACACTCTAGTTCCTGAAAAATAAGTGTACAAAAGCATTCCAATTCAGTCTTAAAACAGGCAGAACAGGAAATATAGTCAGTTAAAATATAGATTTTGCACTTCCTGAAAAATCAGCATTCTCTAATAGCTGCATGTCTTTCACTTCACCTTAATCTTAACTTCAAGGATGTCACTGGAACATTAAAAATGTTATCCAGGCAAATCTTCAGAATTAAAATTAATAGGATGGCTTTTTGACACATCTCTCTCTTAGTCCTCACTTTATGTTGGACTGCAATTCCCACCCAGGCTCTTTCTGGTTATTTTGAACTACAATATAATTCTCAACCTTGCCATCACTCATACTCATAATAATACACTATATTTAGTTGATTTGCCTGAAATAAATCTACAAAAGAAAATTGACTTCAGTCTCTTTCTGTTTTATTTTGTAATTGGATTTTTGTTTACTGAAAACTAGTTCTTGATGCTGCAACAGTAAATGAAAAGTAAAGGAGAAAGTTATGTTTTTTAAATTATATGTAAATCTTAACCTAGCCCAAGTTTGCATCATGCCTAAGTACAACTACTAAGCATAACAATGTATTTGGTTATACCTTAACTTATCATGGGAACCCGGTGAATAATGTATATATTTTTTTACACTGTGCAATATATAGTGGGTGTTTAAATAAAATAGCCGTTTAGCCATTGTATTTATTTTCTAAATTATTCTGGGATTGACTGAAATTATTATGCCAATTTTGGTCACCTCATAGTAACACATATATTGCAGCTGACATCTTGGGCTAGTTCCCTATTACATTAAATATGGCTCAATCTAATTTGTATGGCATGAATGCCATTTATTTCCAGCAGCACTCTCCCTGCTCCCACCCCCCACTTTTAATTGGGTTTGCCACATAACTTTTAGTCTGATTTTATGATGCAAAGTGACATCTAGCTTTTAAATGTATTTATTAGTGGAACACACTGCTTCCCAGTGAAAAACAAAATGTTTTCCTTAAATAGTCAGATTATTTTGTCTATGTTGTAATCCATATAGGATGTTTTCTAAATACAGCAGAATTTTGGATTTGATGGTTACATTTTTTGTAGATGTCACATTTATGGTACTGGGCATTTCTGTTTACCTTCACCTAGTTAAAGATGGCTATCAATGGAGACATTGTATTTGCAAATCTCTTAAGAATTCATAAGGAGGGTAAATTAAACAACCCAGCCTTTTGTAAATGGGAAAATAAAAACAGAACTTGAAGTGTAAAAATAAGGCAAAAATTGCTTATCCCGCTTTCTTATTTCTCCAAAGCTAATGTGAATTAATGCTAAAATGATATAATTAAAATTATAGTATTAAAATTATACAATTCTAAATTCTTGAGCCAACTAGTTGATAAATAAAGGTGATCTTAAACACTATGAGAAGATTAAGAGTCTGAAAAGATTCTTATTGATTTTTTGAGATTTTGTATTGCACCCAAAGGATTTCAACAATGTTAAATATAATTAGACCAAAAAAGTCAATTAGAGTTGATTTTACATCTGCTTACAACTGCAAGATTTATTTATTTAGGTCCCATTTTCATGTTTTGGAGACCTAAATAAAGAGGTCTTACCATCTTCATTACTTTTCTTCTCAGGAGCTTGCTTGCCCTGGAAAGAGCTGGTGATCAACTACCTTCAACTATCATACTTGCAATAATTATTGCTCAGTTGTTCATTCTTTTCTTGGTTAAATAGTGGGTAATTGAGTAAGAGATCACAAAAAGAGATACACATAGGAAACATAACCTTTGTTCACTAGCCATGCGTCAATATCTAACTCTAAGTATAGATATTCTTAGAAAACTCTGCAAGTTCCAACATCCTTGGAAAACCATGATCAGGGAAGGTTCCTATCAATGTGTTTTATTCAGTGACCCCAGCATATTTCCAAGGTCAATATGCAAAATTCTATTATCTCCTTCCTTCTTGATATACTGGGATTGAAATTCCTAGAATTCAAAATAATCTGACCAAATAACAGAGCCCAAAAAATGGATATCAGGCCTGGTAGTCAGCAATATCAATAGTCAGGTCTAATGGTTTAGGCACCAGGCTAGAAATCAGGAGACTGTGAGTTCCAGTCCCACCTTAGGCATGAAAATCAGCTGGATGACTCATTCTTTCTCAACAGATTTATTGTAGTGAGGGAAATAGAAGGAGGGAGGAATATTGTGTGGGTTTGCCACCTTGAATTATTGATAAAAATAATAAAGGCATGATAGGCAAAATAGTTTCCAACTCTAAGGGACATCTCCATTTCTTAACCAAGGGACCTAGCATTGCTGAAGATACTTCCATGTCATGTGGCCAGCATGCCTATAAGCCGAAGAGTACAGAATGCTACTACCTTCCCACCAAATTGGTATCTATTTATCTACCGAAGATCGGTACACTCCTTCTATCTAGGATGGTCGTCCTTGTTATGTCCTGAGCCTGTGGAAGCAGGCTCGGGACATTGCAACGGTCCTGGGCAGGTGCAAGCTGCCTGGGACCAGACTGGCTGTCGCCAGCACGTGCGTGCATGCGCGGGTGCTGGCGCACCAAATGTTGCAGATTGGCCCGGGAATGGCCTATAAAAGAGGCCAGGAGATTTGGGCGTTGTCGGCGTCTTGTAAGCAGTTTGCTGAACAGAAATAAAGAAGTTCCTGAGAACTACAACTGCTTCTCGTGTCATTGCCATTTCGCGAAGGACGCAACACTGGCGACGAAGGTGGGATTGCCTTACATCGACCGAAGACAGGTGTAAGCTTACCCGAGAGAGTCCTGAGAGGTAGGAAAGGCATTGACTCGGCAGCTACCCGCCAATCCAGCGAGCATCGGGGGTAGGCTGGCTGATAGACCCTTCCCTTTCTACAAAAATGGCAAAAGTAGGAAGACTTTCAGAATTCGACGTCTCGCATCCGGAAAGATGGGAGTCTTACGTAGCCAGGGTGGAAAACTATCTTAAAGTCAACCAAGTAAGAGAAGATAGTTTGAAAGCCGCCACCCTGCTGTGCGTTTGTGGTCAAGACGCATTCGAAATCGCTGAAAACATAGCAGCACCTGTACCTCTAGAATCTGTTAACTACACAGATCTCAAAAAACTACTCAAGGAACACTTCCAGCCCAAGCTGTCTGTCATCGCTTGGCGCCACACCTTCGAACAGAGGGATCAGCGACCCGGAGAATCAGCCAGAGAATACATTGCTGCGCTGAGAAAAGCCACTAAACACTGCGAGTTCAAGGATCTAGAAGAACGGCTGAGAGACAGATTTGTATGCGGACTGAGGCATAGAGAATTACAGCAGAGACTTTTTGCTAAAGAAGACTTATCATTCCAAGATGCCTTGAGAGAGGTTACTGCAGAAGAGGCAGCGGGCAGCGCCATCAAGAACATGAGGCTGATCAGAAGCACTCCAGAGGCTGCGTCCGTGTACCAGGAAGGAGCCCAAAGGAACCCAGAGGAGGATCCTGACGATGAAGTAGACCGTCTCTACCCCACGAAAGAAGGGAAACAGAAAGGAAGTTCTTCAGCTCTCCCCAAGTGCCTCGGTTGTGGAGGTCGCCACAAGAGGACCGACTGTAGATTCCTCTCCGCTATCTGTAGCAGGGACACATTGCAGCTGTGTGTCTGGGCCATCAGAAGGTACAACCTCAGGAAGAATTGCGCCTGAAAGGTACCAGGGTTCCCAGCCAAAACAGGGTGGGGTTGCGCTTCGCGAAAAAGCATTTACAAGACAGGCACACACAAGCCCATCAAGAAAAAGCTGTCACTTAAAGTGAAGCTACAAGGGGTTCCATTGGGTATGGAACTGGATACGGGGTCTGCACTCTCGATCATTTCCATGCACACATTTAGGAAGATTTGTTCTGGCAGCAGATTTCAGGCCAAGCTGAGGCCTTCCGACATTGTGTTAACGGATTTTCAAAACTCCAGAGTGTGTGTTAAGGGGGAGGCCACCCTTAATGTACAGTATAAGGATTTTGAAGGTCCACTAGATGTAGTAGTAGTAGGGGGAGAACGAACAAGTCTCATAGGACTCGATTGGTTTGAGGCCTTGGGAATACACGTCACAGGGCTCAATAGTTTGCAAACACTTGACCTACAAGAAGTCTGCAAAGAATTTGCAGATGTTTTCAGCCCCCAGCTGGGCACGTACAAAGGACCCCCTGTGTCACTGAAGTTAGACTTCACTGTCACCCCTATTAGAATCAAAGCAAGAAGGGTTCCTTTTGCTTTAAAGGGTAAAATTGACACTGAATTAGACAAATTGATTCAGCAAGGAGTCTTAGAATCTGTCGACTCCAGTCCTTGGGAGACCCCCATTGTCACGCCTCTTAAGGCAAATGGGGACATTCGCATCTGTGCAGATTACAAATGCACTCTAAATAAGACATTGCAGCAACATGCCTATCCTGTCCTTGTGGTCAGTCATATCCTGGCCTCCCTCAAGGGGGGGCACATTTTTGCAAAGCTTGACCTAACTCAGGCGTATCAACAGCTGCCTGTTAATGATGCTGCTGCTGTAGCTCAGACCATTGTGACCCATAGGGGGGCATTCAAGGTAAAGAGGTTACAATTTGGAGTAAATGTCGCTCCTGGAATTTTCCAAAGCATAATGGAAAACACACTACGGGGTATACCAGGGGTTTGCCCCTATTTTGATGATGTCTTAATTGCAGGGGACTCTACACACAACTTAGCTGAGAGATTAAGGGCTGTTCTGCTGAGGTTCAGGAAAACGGGCCTCAAACTCAAGAAGGACAAATGTAAAATTGGGGTACCTTCTACAGATTTTCTGGGATTCAAAATCGATGCTACCGGTATTCACCCTGCTGAATCCAAACTGGAAGCCATTATGCATGCCCCTAGGCCAAAGACCAAGGCCGAACTACAGGCTTTTCTGGGCCTTCTGAATTTCTATAACTCCTTCCTCCCAAACAAGGCTAGTGTAGCCGAGCCTCTTCACAGACTTCTGGACAAACAGGCAGTGTGGCAGTGGTCACAAAAACATGAAGCAAGTTTCAATGAGGTCAAGGCCTTACTCACTTCTAACAGTGTAGTTGCACATTTCAATGAATCCCTTCCTGTGTGCATCGCTTGTGATGCTTCCCCTTACGGGGTTGAAGCTGTCCTGAGCCACCTCAGGTCTGATGGAACTCAGGTTCCTGTTGCATATTACTCCAGAACCTTGTCTTCTGCTGAGCGAAATTATGCTCAAATAGACAGGGAGGCTTTAGCTATTGTTGTGGGAATCAAAAAATTCCATGATTTTTTATATGGCAGGCTTTTCACGGTCTTCACTGACCATAAGCCTTTGTGTGGGACTGTTTACCACACATAAACAAACTCCCCAGATCATCTCCCCCAGAATGCTGAGATGGTCTATGTTTCTGTCTGCCTATGATTTCTCCTTACTTCACAAACCTGGGAAGGAAATGGGCCACGCTGATGGCCTCAGTAGATTACCCCTGCCAGTAATAGAAACTGACCCTGCACCAACTATCAATATCCTCTCCATTCAGGCCTTGCCTGAGTCTCCTTTAGATGCCAGGGATGTGGCAGCTAAATCAGCCACAGATATCACACTTTCACGTGTCCTTTCTTGGGTTTTATCTGGATGGCCAGAGAGCTGTCCTGGCACTGAGTTTCAGAGTTTCTGGTCCAAAAGGAAAGAATTGTCCACCTTCCAGGATTGTCTGCTTTGGGGAAGCAGAGTTGTCATTCCTACCTCAATGAGGACTAGGGTCTTAGGTTCCCTCCACGAGGGTCATCCTGGCATTGTACGCATGAAGGCACTTGCGCGCAGCCATTTGTGGTGTCCTGGGTTAGATAGAGACATTGAAGCTAAGGTGCATGCATGCCACCTTTGTCAACGCTCGCGCCCTGAAATGCCCCAAGCTCCTGTACATAGATGGGAGGAAACACAGTCTCCATGGTCTAGGGTGCACATTGACTATGCTGGGCCTTTTCAGGGTCAATTCTTCTTGGTCCTAGTTGATAGCCATTCAAAATGGCTTGAGGTTGTACCTGTCTCTTCCACCGCCACTGCAAAGACTATTCAAGTACTGAGGGGGATTTTTGCTGCACACGGGCTTCCAGACGTTCTCGTGTCTGACAACAGCCCTCAATTCACTTCTTCCGAATTCCAAGCTTTCTTACAGGCCAACATGATTCGTCATGCCACCTCTGCGCCTTTCCACCCATCCACCAACGGTATGGCTGAACGCATGGTTCGCATCACCAAGGACGCCTTGAAGAAAATTACCTATGGAGACTGGCATCACAGGTTGGCTGACTTCCTCCTTTCTTATCGCACTACACCGTCCACTTCTACTGGGAGGAGCCAGCTGAACTTCATTGGGGGCGCAAACTGACCACCAAGCTTGACCGGTTGCATCCGGACAGACTTCCTTCCACACTCACACGCCCCAGGGCACCTAGACAACTGCTTGTGGGTGCCCCGGTTTGGACTCGTAAGTATGGGCCTGGCCATTCATGGATCCCCGCCACTGTATCCAAAGTCACAGGTCCTCTGTCTTACGAGGTGTCTTTGGACAACGGTCGTGTCCTGCATTGACACATCGACCAGCTCCGCACTAGACGGGACCTTCCCACTGAGACTCCTGGGTCTTTTCCAGGGGGGGAGGGGGACCTTTTAGGGCAAAGGGAAGAGTACGGGCTGCTGCCCATCATTAACGAGGAGGCTACAGACAGCCCATTCCAAAGTTCCGCGAGTGCTCCAAACAGGAATTCACGGAGCCCAACTAGAACTCAGGCACCAGTGCCTACTCCAGCCAGGGAGTCACCCCGGGGGCATAATCACTACTCACCCGCATCACTCAGTACTCCAGTCAGGGAGGATATCCGGGAGCGTCCAAACAAATCACACCCTGCAAGAGAGCTGGCACACATTCCCTCTAGTTGGCCCGACACTACCCCTGTCCCTAGAAGGGGGCAAGCACACAGGCAGGTGGTCGAGGAACCAAATCCTGACTACAACACCTCTGACTTCACTCAGGGGACAACTGAGTTTCGGGACAGCACTGAAAACCCCACAAGCCCGGGGACAGAACGGGAACAAGGGGAAAGATAACCTCCTGACGGGTGTTGGACGGACCTGGGAGGTTCTACAGAATCGCACAACAGTGACAGTCACTTAAGAGGGCCAGAGAGCCTGCAGCTAGACAGCTAGGCAGGTCAAACAGAGAAAGAAGCCCTGGCCTGACGAGCCCAGTGGGCAAGCAAGTAGGCCAGGCATTGGAGCACAGTCCTTGGGAATCACCAGGGTGTAACAGGGGGGACAGGTATGCATCACCCCTCAGTCAAGGGGTACTTGGCAGGTACCCAACAGTCAGGAGGTCACAGAGAGCCAGAAGATCTCTTAAGTATTTAGAAGATTTTGTAACTCTACTGGCAAAACAGAGTTAACAGAGAACATTCCTGTACATATAGGAAAATAGAACACTGGGAATGATAGAAGCAGAGGAAATAACTGGCATTAGGTAGTATGGGCACCACGCTCGCATTAGGTTGTATGTTATTATTGTATGATCATAGTCTTAGCCGGGGGGGAAGGGGTGTTATGTCCTGAGCCTGTGGAAGCAGGCTTGGGACATTGCAACGGTCCTGGGCAAGTGCAAGCTGCCCGGGACCAGACTGGCTGTCGCCAGCACGTGCGCGCATGCGCAGGTGCTGGCGCGCCAAATGTTGCAGATTGGCCAGGGAATGGCCTATAAAAGAGGCCGGGAGATTTGGGCATTGTCGGCGTCTTGTAACCAGTATGCTGAACAGAAATAAAGAAGTTCCTGAGAACTACAACTGCTTCTCGTATCATTGCCATTTCGCGAAGGACGCAACAGTCCTCTTCCACCGAGCACGCAGCTTCTGGAGCAGTGAGAGAGGAAGGGGACACCCACCTAGCCAGCCAGATCAGCCAAATCAATCCTGGCGATCAATGGGGTGACAGATGTCGCAGCCAGATCGCCCTCACAACTCGGCCTTTTGGCTAAGATCAATGTAGTACCTATTTATCTACTCACATTTATATGCTTTCAAACTACTAGGTGGGCAAGAGCTGGGTGAATAACAGCAGCTCAACCTGTTGCATGGCTCTTGGGTTTTGAACCTCGGTTGTTAGCTTTCCAGCATATTTAACTGCTGAGTCATCATGTCCCCAAAGGCAGGATAATATAAATAAATAAATGGTTGTGCTCTAATATTTATCATTTGTTTGGATTTTATTTAATCTTTCCTCTAAAAGCTAAAGGCAGCAAACAAATTATTTTCTCCTCCCTTTCTCCCCTCACAAAAACAGCCCTGTGAAACTGCTTGCACAGACAAAGAATGATTGACTTACAGTCATCCAGTCAGCATCCATGGCAGCTGCTGAACTAATACCTGAATGATTTACCTTCTCCAACAATGGGACCTTCCCATCCTACTGGCTCTTATGTTCATACATTTTTTAGTTCTTGTGGCTTTCTGTTTTCATGGGCTTCCATGGGGGGCAAATGCAGTGATAGGCATCATGACCTAAACTTTGCTCCTTTTCTACTTAAGGGGTGGTATGGAGCTTGTGTTCCGATATTAGATTACATGTTTTGCCATTTTAATGAAATCTGAAATTTGCTGCTGAGGCCCCAATAATATGTTCATTTCGGTATTATAATGCTTAACTTTTTAAAATCACAAATATATTTGAGAAATCCTTAATGCTTGGTTGTTTTCTTGTAGATGTTTCATTACCTAAACAAAGTAGCAACATCATCAGTACTAGAAAGGAATGAGGTTTGCTCTCAATTTATCTGTATATTCTGCCAGTATTGGTAGGTTGTGGAGGTTCTTTGGTTGAGCTGTTTACTGTTAGCTTGTTTGGTAGTTCCTTGATTGGCATATTGTTTACTTCTTGATTGTTGGCTTGATGTTAATCTTGGAGTTAATCTATGCACATCTGGGTATTGATTGCTAATGGGGAGGGGTTTTGGTCTTTTTGCTCCCTTTTTAGTTTGTTTATTGTCTCTTTTACACAGTATGTAGGTATTGTTCATATTCGTATATCTATTGATGGCTAATTTGTTAGAATGCCAGCCTTATTTCCAGCCAATTAAATACTTCCAGTTAAATATTCCAATTAAATATTTCCAGCAATTACCTACCTCCATTGTAAAGCCAATCACTTTAAAGCACTGCTCAACTGAGGCAAACTTGGATTTATAACAATTATTGTTCAGGACCTCTTGCGCTGGTGTCCGAAGTTCATTTTGTAGATAACTAATTAAATGGTGGGGGGGGGGAAATGAAAATTTTTACATGGAAAATTAATACAAGGCATCTGATTTTTTCAATTTAAATTAACTTGAAAATATATTTATTTGAGAATTTAGCGAGCTACAGCAAGAAAATACAAAGTTTTTTTTTTTTTTTTTACCTTGGGAGTTCATTTTCTGGCAATTTATAATGAGGTAATCTTTTCTTTTCTGCCAATCCAGCATAGATGTAATAGAAAATATGAAAATTCTTCTCCCCACTGAAACAAAGCAAGCAAACAAATTACAATTCTGTAGCTACTAAAATAAAACCTAAGAATTCCTATTTTTATCTGTTTGTTCTGATTTTGAAATTCATGTTGCATTTTAAACATTAAAATTTATTTCACTTTCTAAATATTAACATTCATTCTCAAAGCCATTACATACTTTAGGAAGGGATGAAAGCTAAGTGCTTATACACTAATAAAATATAAGAACAGACCTGCCCTGGAAGCAGATTAAAGTTGAGAAAAGTAATCTCTTGTCTATTTTATAGACTTGTTAAATTAGAAACATTATTTATAAGTTATTCTTTTTGTATGTTTTAGTGATTCCCCTTTAGCAAAAAAAAAAAAAAAGTGAATCAGGCAGTTTAGGATGAACGATCGATCAAATTTGTCTGTTATTTATGCCAATCCCACATTTACCGATTCACCCATGACTGTATTTACATAGAGTGTATGTATCAATGTATGTTTATTGGATTATATAAAATTTATAACTTGAATATATAATTCCTGAATTATATTAATGCATGTCACGTCAAGGTTTTTATGCAAATGCTGCATAAAATCTCACCCCATGCCCATAACATTTGAATTCATCTCTGTCACACATTATTTTTATTTGAACCGAAACTTTATTCTAAAAATCCCTGCTTTCCTTTTGGGTAAAATGCTCCTTTTCTTTCACTTACCCAGCTTGACATATGACTCTAGACTTTTCTAGAAGATATTCTGAAATCTGAGAGCTTACAACCGTTCCTTTAGAAGTGAATTTCATTTCCAGATATTTCCCAAATCTGCTAGAATTATCATTAATAATAGTGGCTGCATTTCCAAAGGCTTCCAACAGATTGTTTACTTGGATAATTTTTCCTTGAAGAGTCCTGTTATTAGCCTAGGTAAATATTTTAAAAATTAGAAACTATTTAAAAACTCATCTTCTCAGGATATGTACAAGACACATGTTTTATCAATAGAAGAAAATATTTGTAGCTCAGAGAGGAATTGTGGAGTCCTTGGTGTTCTCGGAGTTTAACTGTTTTTTGTTGTAGATGTTTCATTAGCCAAAGTAGATAACATCTTTAGTGCTAGAAAGGAATGTGGTTTGTTTTTCCTAATATAGGGAACTTTTTTGACAAATTTTATTTAATTATCATTATCATGTCACAAATAACTAGTATGTAATTGTTAGTTTAACTGTGATATTGTAGGTACTTGCTGATTCACATCTTAATTCCCTGATGGGAACACATTTATTTGAACCCATCTCCACCCAATTTTACCTTTGACAAATAGCTGTATTAAAGTTCCTAATTTCCCAGCCTATTAAAGAATAAGTAGAGATCATTTAACATAAAAACTATTTGAACCCCACCCCTAAAGTTTTTAAAATTTACCTTACCTTTCCAAGGACTGTCAACTGTTGAACTAGCAGGTGAGAACTTTGAGTCTTCCCAGCACCACTTTCTCCAGAAATGACAATACACTGAAATTAAGAGTCAGGGATATTTTTGTTATAATTAATGTTCTATGCAATCAAAATGGGCATTAGGTTTGGCCTTGAAACTAGGGATCTATAGTGATTTGACTCCAAAAGAAAAGCAAAACAAGAACGCTTTAGAGGGAGATTGGGCACAGATTGCACGATGCCCATGCTGGTGTTTCTCAACCTCGGCATCTTTAAGAACTCCCAAAATTTCTTCATATCTTAAAGATGCCAAGACTGAGAAACACTGGCCTACGCTTTTTCCAATACTCTTTTTTTCTGCTTTGAATTAATTGGATTTAAGTGCTGCTGCATATTTCTACTGGAATTATTAGCATTACCTGATCTGACCCATAGGTAACCATTGATTGATATGCAGTATCAGCCATAGCAAAAATATGTGGAGGGTTGTGAGTCCGTTTAGCCCCCATGTACAATCTGGAATGCTGTTGGAAAGAAAAGGTAAATATTATGTATTCTATTGCTTTATGCCACATAAAACAAAGATACTGGTTAAAATAAACCTGATAAATCAAAATATGATTACAATGAGAAATATTTACTATAACATGTCACATTTTTAAAAGCCTGGCAAACCTGGCTCCTGGGACAAAATATTTCTCAATTTAATTTCTCAATTTCTCTTGTTTTCCTGGCCTTTTGAGCATATCCACTTATGAGTGACAATGAATACCAATACTTCTTCATTACCTAATCTGCTTAATTTGCTTAATTATAATGCTCAGATGTAATTTTTTTTTGTTTTATTTTCTTTATTTCCTCTTCAACTATTTCTATAGTGAAGAACAGGAAATGAGACCTTTGCACATATGTACCTTAGCACCTTCATCCTCTTTTTAACTCGGTTATTGCTTCTAACAAACTAAGCAAACATCCCAAAGAAATTCCTGTGGACATGGAAACAAGCCATGATAGCTGTCAGGTATATATAGTAAGCAAGAACAATTTCCTTTTAAGATGCTTCAGTGCTCGGTGCCCAAATTCTGACCTTTCCAACAGTCCCCTCAAACAAACTAATTTTCACACCTTTGTAGAGTAAAGATCTAACTTCTGAAAAGGGTTGACTGCAATGAGGATATCTCCCACATAAGTGTAAATTTGACCTCGAATGTAGCTCTTCTCAAGTTGCTCTGTTATTGTATTCTGTTTGAAATTGAGAGAAAGAGGAAGAAAAAAGCTAGTTATGTTTCTTTTTTTAAAAGGAGGTTAATAATAAAATATATTAGATTTCTTTAACTATGAAACCAACATTCTTAATTTTGAATGCTACCTGCATGATAACCTCTTGGATCCATATGTCCATCATCAGCAATCAATCAGTAGAACAAAATGTCAAGGACTGACTCTGGGAGACTTCAGATTGCCAAGCTTCTGATCTATTAATGAGATATAACTCCTTCCTTATCCACATTCTCTGCTGTGGCAGTGGTGATCCAAAAATCTTAGTTCTTTCTTAACTTATTGTTTTTGAAACATTTGAGATATCAAGGATTGAACCTTATGAGACATTTAGCATACAAATCTATGGCCGATTCAAGTCAGACTGCTATACTTTAAGGACTCATATCATTGCAATATGAAGTGAGAGTTTGATCTTAGTATAACTTCACAAATATGAGATTTTTATGGCTCCAAATCTTGTGAAAAGTGGTTTTCCCCCCCTCCTCTATAGTTTTTGGTAGGCAATCTTTAATCTCATGGCTACAAACTTCTTTATAATGACATCATAGATGCAGAAAATGTTCACCAAATTTTTGCATAATCAATTAAAAGCTTTTTCCATGTTACCTCTGAGAATGTTGGACTCTTACAATTTTGTTTTTGGATTCTGGTTTTAGAATGTGATTTATATAATTGATTCAAATCAGTATTATCAAATTTGAGATAGAGAGAGAAAACAAAACCTGGGGCTGTGGAATGTGTTAATAGTATCTAGCTGTAGTGATAAATAGATATATTAATTTTATTTTTGTCAGTTTCTCATTTTTATCAATCTGTCAAATTCTGTCTCTTGAACTTTTTGTTTTAAATTCACAGTAACATATGAATTTTGATGTACGTAATTCCAAACATAGTTTTGGTTGCAGTGCTGTCTGATATAAACAGTATACTAATATCATGAATACATGCATTTTTAAATAAAGTACCGTTGTACATTTGAAGAAATACTACTACTTATTATTGTATATTTCTTAATAGACAAATTAAAATGAAGTTTGAGGAAGTGTGGAAATCACTTGTTTTAGTTTGTATATTAGTTCTAAGATTAAATGACTTTTCCTCAATACTATCTAACCCCAACCTAAATACAGCAAAAGGCAGATAGCTTGAAAGAAGACACACTGTACAAAACAGTCAAAAATGATTATTTGTTCGAAGCATGCATATTATTCCAATTTAAAACATTCCTAACAAAATAAAAATATCTTACCTCATCTAATATTTCTAAGGTTGCCAGATCATCTACCTCCTCCTGATTAGCAGTTGGAGACCTAGTCACATTCTGTTTATTGGAATCAATATATTCAACTCTGTAAGAAAACAAATATGTATAGATGTGTTTGACAGCATGAACAAAAGATTTTGAATATTATTTTGACTGAGCTGCTTAGGACTACAAAAGTAAATACTTTGGTAAACATAGATTTAGATCTCCAAATTCCTTATGAAGATATTGTTTTCATATGGACATAGAAAATATGGACATATTTTTTTACATTTCAGAAGCAGATGGCCCCATTTCAAGGAGCTGAATTAAGAGTTCAACCCCCACTTACTGTGGTTAATCAAATTTTCGGTAGTCATAGCAGTTACATTTTACTTACTGCTAAGTAAATGTAGTGAGATGAGTACTTATTTTTTTACTAAAACTGTTACAGAAATTCATCTATGACTCTTCTTATAGCTTACAGAGACAGACACTGGTATGAGTTGAGGCTACAAGAATTTAATTTTTTTATAGTCCTTAGAATGAGGCTAGGATTATGCCACATCAAGCTGCTAACCAAACTGGGCATTTTTTCTGCAAAGAAAAATCCCCAAAGTTAGCAATGGAGTCACTGATCATTATGGTCCACTGAACAAACGTTATTATTCACAACTGTACATTATGTTCCCATACAAGAGCTCAGATATTTCTTAAAGCAAGCATAGATATGAATCACTGCTGATCATGCATGGCTAGCTAGTTTAGCTACCCAACATCTTGTGTATTCATTTAGGATTTTCTACCTTCAGAAATCTTATAACAATGTGCAAAAACATGCTGCCTTATGCTCAACAATGAATGTATATGTAATATTGCTGATATTTCAAAATCAATATTACCGTAGTAGCATATTTACCTAGCCAGATAAAATTCTGGCACTGTTTTCTTCCAATCCTCCAGCATAACCAGTTAGGTGAGGTTGGTTAAAACAAACTAACCTGATTCTCAGAGTGTAACCTGACTGAAATCTGGTTAGAATGAAATATAATCCATCTAGGATATTCTAAGCATTTGCTCTCCATTTTATGACTTATTCGCATACATGACATTTAATTTTTTAGTACTGGGAGGTAAGATAATAAGAAATTTCAAGGCCTGTAAGCTAGTCTGGGAAGATAAATAATAACAACAAAAAACTTGTAAGAAGGCAAAGACAACTCGGCTCCATATTGTTTATACATTAATTTGCATCCTGCCTTTCCTTGACGAGCTCAAGGCAGCACAGATAACGTTCCTTCTATTTTTCCTTACAAGAGCATGAGTGTACAAAATCACCCAACAATTTCTGTGATTAAGGTTACACCAAACCCTTGGTCTCCCCATTCCTAGATAGACATCTTAACCACTATTTTTGCTTAGGGTTTTGAGATTAAGCTAGATTGCCTAGATGTTGTCAATGAGTTAGGCATCCCACATAATCGTGGGTATTAAAATATCTTTGGGGAACTTCCACCAATGTTAATGCAAGGTCAGGGCATGTAGCATCTTCCTATCAGATGTGCAAATGCTCCATGTCTTGTACATGGCTTGAGAAAGAACAATATTTGCATTAAGCTGCAGGCATTTTGAGGAGGGCAAGCATTATTTGCCATTTAAGGAGATCTGAAATGTTGAAGCAACTGACTTGCCCAAGCAGTATGCGGATTCTGCCGACAGGGTGACTTTGACCAAGTCAAGCATATGTGACACAAATGACAGCTGCAGGAGCTGACAGCTAATCTGTTCCCTTTCTGTTATTTTCCTTCAACCAAGGAAAGGACACAGACCTTGAATAAGCCTGTCATTTCCCATGTCTGATGTTAACCACTGCACATAGCACCTTATTTTCATCACACAGTCAAACATGCAGCAATGTGTTGCCAGGGTGATATCACATTCAGCCTACTGGGCTGAGCAGCTGCTGAATTAAGGGAAAGTGAGAAATCCAAGGAACAGAAGAATTACTCTTGTTTCTCCTGCTATGTATATTTCCTGGATTTCTTTTTAGAATATCAGGGTTTTCTTTTCCTTGGTTTGTGTTATCAAAGTTTCTCTTCAAATATATTTATTTAATTTATAAATAATTCATTTACAAAAATGTGTATGCTGCCTGCTCACTGAATTCTAGGTAGCCTAAAAAACCCCTAAAATTTAGTTATTTTAGGCTAAATTTAGGTACTTTAGCTTTTTTTATTGCTCTTGGGATAACAAAATAACAAAGGCCAAAAAAATGTCTACACCTCTGCAGAACCAAAGCCTTGCCTTTTTTAAAAAAAACATATGTCAGGTGCATGAGGAATGTAAAAAAAAAAACGGCATTATGCTTTGAGTGCATAGTCATTGCTTATCACCTTAGCTTTTTGGGACACCCCAGGATTTGCCTGCTTTCTTGCTAGAGAAGAACTTACTCTAGAGGAAGGAATTTCTCATGGCAGTAAATTTCTCAAATCCAAAAAACTTCTCATTAGACATTACCATCATGTTCATAGGCCTAATCAACCAAATTTTTGACAGTTTCTATTTCAATCTGCACAATTACTATTTTTTTTTAATTGAAAATTTTTAGGTTTTACAAAAAGAAAAGATTCCCCTCCCCCACACCCTCCCACCCCTCCCCTACCCTCCCCCAATCTTCCCAGAGCTGAATACAGGCTTAATTAAAAAAAAAATTTAAAAAAATCTTGAAACACTTATAAACCATAAACAAATCTAAATACGTTAATTAAACAAATTAAAAAATAATTAACAACAATATATAAAAAAATACAAGAAGAAAGAAAAGAAAAAACAGAAAAAAAATAAATAAAAGAAAATATCTAAAAAATATCTTAAACTTTAATTATAAATTATTCAAAAACTAAGTAATATTTTTTATATCCAACTTATATTGTATGAAATCTATCCATCTTTTCCATACCAGGAGATACTTCTCCTGCGATTGATCTTTCAAGAAAGCCGAAATCTTTGCCATTTCCGCCAAATAAGAAACTTTAAAAAACCATTCTTGCAATGTAGGCAAAGATTCCTTCTTCCAACATTGCCCTACTAACAACCTGGCTGCTGTAATTAAATTTAACATCAATATAATCTCTTTACTGTCACAATCAGAAACAATACCTAACAAAAACAATTGTGGGGTAAATTTTATCCTTCTTCTGAAAATTCTTTGAATATTCCACCATATTTTAATCCAAAAAGCTTTTATATTTTTACATAACCACCAGATATGGTAATAAGTAGCATCCAAACATCCACATCTCCAACATTTAGGCTGCAAGTCAGGATACATACGAGACATTTTTTGTGGATCAAGGTGCCATCTATAAAACATTTTATAAAAGTTTTCCCTTAAATTTTGGGCTTGTGTAAATTTAACATTCCTCACCCAAATAATCTCCCAGGTATCTAATAAAACCGGTTCCTCAAAGTTTTGTGCCCATTTAACCATACATTCTTTAACTAATTCTGCTTCTGAATCCAACTCTACTAACACCCCGTAAATTCTCTTAATGTGAGTTCGTCTTTGATCTTTTATTTGTTTTAACAAATTCTCATCTTCTCTAAGCAAACCCAAATTACGATCTATCTTCCACCTCTCTACTATTTGTCTATACTGAAACCATGAATAAATAATATTTTCTTGTGTTAAATCTTCCAGAGATTTTAATTGCCAATTTTTACCATCCCATCTAAGTAATTGTGCATAAGAAACACTATCCATCTTGACTCCTCTCCTTATCCCTTCTATCACATGCCATGGTATAGCCCATAATGGAATTTTAAAATCATTTCTATAATATTTCTTCCAAACCCAAAGTAAAGAGGTCCTTATAATATGAGATTTAAAAACCCTATCAACCTTTTTATTGAAAATTAAATAGGCATGCCATCTGAAAAGCAAATCCCAACCCTCTAAGAGGAGTACTTCTACATTTGTTAAATTAACCCAATCACTAATTAATGTTAAAGCCACAGCATCATAATACAATTTCAAATCGGTACCTTGAGTCCACCCCTCTCACGAATATCTTGTATAATTTTAAGTTTTACTCTTGGTTTTTTCCCTGCCCAGATAAATTTATTGATACCTTTCTGCCATTCATTTAAATTAACCTCATTCTTTAAAATGGGTATCATTTGAAATAAAAAAAGAAACTTTGGCAAAACATTCATTTTAATCACCGCAATTCTCCCCAAAAGAGATAATTGCAGCTTCTCCCAATTTACCAAATCTCTTTGTATTTTGACCCACAACCTTTCATAATTATTTTTATACAATTTGGTGTTAGAAACAGATAAAGTAACCCCCAGATATTTTACCTTGTTAACAACCTCAAAATCTGTCAACCTAACCAAGGTCTCCTTATCCAAGTTAGTCATATTTTTAGGTAATATTTTAGTCTTATTATTGTTAATTTTAAAACCCAAAACTGCACAATCTGCACAATTACTATTGTCAGTGTTAGGAAAAGTCTTTGTTCCAGTTTTTGCTAAAGTGTGACAATCAACTACTTTGAAGCTGAACTGACAGCAGGAGTCACACCATTTATTGTTCCAGCTCATTTTCTATTCATTCCTGGCCACCTACCTCCTCCTATCTTATTCAAAGTAGAAGGAGGTCACTTTCAGCCCAAGTGTCAAAATGCACAAAAGGGATTTTTAATGGCTCCCAAAATAGCATGGAAAAAGCCCATTCCTTGGTAAATGTTTGTCCTGTATATAGAAATTAGAATTATTTATCTGACAGGAGAATCCTAGGCCAACTGAACAACTGCTATTTATATTCTAAAACAATTCATATGCAAGAGTAGAAAAATAAATCTTGGCGGTTATGAGGGAGGTGTTATAAAATTGGGTCATCACACAGAGCAATCAAGGGGAACTTAAAGATGTTAAGTAAGTCAATCATCCCCAATTTGACACTTGATTGCAACTTCAAGAATTTCCAGCTAACATAGAGTGTGTTATAGTCCTAATAGACTATAGAGCAGGTAAAGTTGAGGAAAACGGATACAAAAAAATATGGATCCAATTTTTGGTTAAGGACTCCTATTGTGCTTCTTG